AAAAGGTCTTCATCTGTCCACTGAAAGAAAAAAGACAAGGAGCAAGTGCACCTTTTCCTGCACGAGGGAATGCCACAACTTGGGAGTAGTCATTGAGAAGGTTTTCTCCTTTATCGTCAGGAAATGCACCTGTGATGATGGTGAGAAAGAGGAAAAGTTGTCTTTGCCTACTGGTAGAACATCATTTTCTCACACAGTGTTGCTATACCTCAACAAAGTAGGAAGGCCTATAACGGGAGTCTTCAAACTTTTTAAACAGAGGGCCAGGTCATAGTTCCTCAAAAATGAATAAATTCCTATGCACACTGCACATATCTTATTTGTAGTGCAACCCCCCCCCTTAAAAACAATACAATAATTAATATGAAGAAGAATTTTAACAAATATAAACATTAAAATTTCAGTGGGGAGTGTGGGCCTGCTTTTGGCTGATGAGATAGGATTGTTGTTGTTGTATATTTCAAAGTAATTTCAGATTTAGGCTGATCCTGAGCGTGGCCGGGAAAATGATTTTGGAGGGCTGCATCTGGCCCACAGGCCATAGTTTGAGGACCCCTGGCCTAAAACTATAACTTTTGCAAGCAAAACATCTTAAGTTTATCCCTGGCAGTGCTAGTTTAAGGACAGAAGTGCTAGTTTAAGGACAGCAGGGCAACTTCTGGACAAGAATGTTAACAACTTGCAAACGGGATGATCTCTGCAGTGCCCTTATACTGTTAACACTATGCAACATGATTTTTGTTCCTGGGTTATAAACTTGTGAGTGACAAAGGTTCAAATCCACACTCAGCCATGGAAAGCCTTTATTTATTTACTTACTATATTTGTATACTGCCCTTCTCAGCCCGCAGGTGACTCAGGGCTGTTGGTTACAGAGGAAACAATTCAATGCCCAACAACACCATAAAACAGTTAAAACAGTTTAAAACATTGACATATAATATAAAACCATAACAAGCTCAATACAACATAAATCATTTGTGTTCTTCATTAAAAACGTCCAAACTCATCATCCAGTTGTTCAGTATTCCTATGTCTGTTGCACTGCATTTTCAAATGCTTGCTCAAACAGCCAAGTCTTAACTTTTTTCCGGAATGTTAAAACGGAGGGGGCTTATCTAATGTCCCTAGGAAGAGTGTTCCATAGCTGAGGGGCCACCACTGAGAAAGCCCTGTCTCTCGTCCCTGCCAAATGTATTTGTGACGCTGGCCAGATCGAGACCAGGGCCTCCCCAGACGATCTTAAAGGTCACCCACTCTCATATCCAGAGGAAAGCAAACATCCTCTGAACCAGTCTTTCCAAGAGACCCGTATGACAAGTTGAGGGGTTTAGTCTTACTTCCAGGTGAACAAAGGTTTAATGCTATGCTGGGTTTTAAGTTGCATTTATTGGGAATCGGCATCATAGTGTCCTATACTCCAGTCAGCAAATGACCCAGGAAGAAGGTGGTTGGATTGTAAGAGCTGTCACGGAGTTGATTCAGTTTAGGTTAGTTGCAAGGTATCCAGCAAAATTAAGGAATTAAAGAAGAAGCATTAGCCAATCCAATAGGCTTTTCAGCAAAGCCAGCAAGAAGTAAAAAAAGGGCTGCATATCATAGCCACTCCAAGGTCAGGAAAACACATACTCCAAAAGACACTGTAAGAGTGCACCTACGCACTAGAATTAATGTAATTTGCCACCATTTTAAATACTGTGGCTGAATGCTATGGAATCATGGGAGTTGTAGTTTTATAAGGCCTTTAGCCTCCTCTGTCATATAATACACTGGACTGCATTATATAAGTACACTGCCATATAACACACTGAACTGCATTATATGAGCCTTCACTGCCATATAACGCACTTCACAGCATTATATGAGTCTACACTGCCATATCACACTGAACTACTTTACAAATACACTTTTTTCTATTTCCTATCTCACCAGGGTTTTAACGTTTTTAACATTTTATCTTGCACATTTAGCCCGCTCTTTGTGATTGATTTTATTATGTTATTTTGCATATTTTGTCTATTTTATTTTGTTACATTACAGCAAAACAGCTGGCCTGGAAGATCTACGGATGGAACAAATCAAGAACTTTGTTCCAAAAGCAAGGCACTAGCTACTGGAGCTGATGAACAACTGCACTGCATCCTGTCAGATCCCCAAAATCTGGAGGAAAGCAAGAGTCATAGCCATCTTGAAGCCAGGCAAAGACCGTAATGATCCAAAAAGCTATGATGATCCAATCTCCCTGTTGTGCCACCTTTACAAAGTTCTGGAGAGACTTATTTTGCATAGAATTATGGAAAAAATAGACCCATGTCTGATTCCACAGCAAGCTGGCTTCAGGAAAGGCAAAAGCTGCACATCACAAGTGCTGAACCTGATTCAGCACATAGAAGATGGCTTTGAAAGGCAGCAGATCACAGGAGCTGTCTTCATAGACCTGTCAGCAGCTTATGATACTGTAAACCACCGCCTCCTCCTGAGAAAAATGTATAATATCACAAAGGACTACCACCTCACCCGCCTCATAGGAAACCTGCTACAAAACAGGAGCTTTTTTGTTGAGTTCCAGGGCCAGAGAAGCAGATGGCGGAAACAGAAGAACGGCCTGCCTCAGGGGAGCATGCTTGCTCCATCCATGTTCAACATCTACACAAATGACCAGCCACTGCCAGAAGGGACAGAGAGCTTCATCTATGCTGATGATCGTGCCATTACTGCTCAAGCAGGGAGCTTTGAGATGGTAGAACAGAAGCTCTCCGAAGCTCTAGGTGCCCTTACCGCCTATTACAGGGAAAACCAGCTGATCCCTAATCCATCTAAAACACAGACATGTGCTTTTCACCTTAAGAACAGACAAGCATCCCGAGCTCTGAGGATTACCTGGGAAGGAATCCCACTGGAGCATTGCAGCGCACCCAAATACCTGGGAGTCACTCTGGACCGTGCTCTGACCTACAAGAAGCACTGCCTGAATATCAAGCAAAAAGTGGGTGCTAGAAACAATATCGTACGAAAGCTGACTGGCACAACCTGGGGATCACAACCAGACACAGTGAAGACATCTGCCCTTGTGCTATGCTACTCTGCTGCTGAGTATGCATGCCCAGTGTGGAACACATCTCACCACGCTAAAACAGTGGATGTGGCTCTTAATGAGACATGCCGCATTATCACGGGGTGTCTGCGCCCTACACCACTGGAGAAATTACACTGTTTAGCCAGTATTGCACCACCTGACATCCTCCGGGAAGTAGCAGCCAATAGTGAAAGGACCAAGGCAGAGACATCTCCAGCTCATCCCTGTTTGGGTATCAGCCGGCACGTCAACGACTTAAATCAAGAAATAGTTTTCTAAGATCTACAGAGACACTCGCTGGAACACCTCAGCAAGCGAGAGTCCAAAAGTGGCAGGCTCAAACCCAGAACCTCAATCAATGGCTGATACCAAATGAGAGACTCCCCCCTGGGCACACAGAAACTGGGCGACTTGGAAGGCGCTGAACAGACTGCGCTCTGGCACCACGAGATGCAGAGCCAATCTTAAGAAATGGGGCTACAAAGTGGAATCCTCGACATGCGAGTGTGGAGAAGAGCAAACCACTGACCTCCTGCTACAATGCAACCTGAGCCCTGCCACATGCACAATGGAGGACCTTCTTGCAGCAACACCAGAAGCACTTCAAGTGGCCAGATACTGGTCAAAGGACATTTAATCAACTACCATGCTTGAAAACTTTTGTTTTGTCTGTCTGTTTGTTTTGTTAAAAATGTAATATAACTGTCTGGTAGCTCCTGACACGATAAATAAAATGTATTTTGTTGTGCTTAATTTTCTGTTGTTTTGTATTTTATTTCGTTGTATTATTTTTGGGCGCGACCTCATGTTAGCGTCCTGAGTCCCCTTTGGGGAGATGATGGTGGGCAGGCATGTAGCCAGGGCGGGGGCTTGAGGGGCTTCAGCCCCCCCCCCCGAAATTCTCATGGTGGTCCTCGAGAAGGCCTTACTGGTACATTATTTAAACTGTTATGTTTATTCATATCATGATCTGATCACCATGCTCAATATATCCCCATATGCATGGGGGTATTGGGGTAACGATACAAAAGGTTTGCTAGGGTAGACCCTCTTTCACTCAGACTCAGCCCCCCCCCCACCCACAAACTCAGCCCTCCCCCCCCCTGAAGGGAGATGGTGGTGGGGTATAAATAAAGTTTAATAATAATAATAATAATAATAATAATAATAATAATAATAATAGTATACGAGTCTATACTGCCATATAACACACTGAACTGCAATAGATGAGTCTACACTGTCACCAGGCCTGTAGCGAGGGGGTGGTTTTAGGGATTCAAACCCCCTCCCCGAAATGTTTCAGATTTTTTAAAAACTGGTTTACTCATGAATTTTAACTGGTTAACCAAATCCCCATGCTAAGTCTATGAGATGCAAAAAATTAAGAGTCCTTCCAGAACTGCAAGCACTATCTCAAGCAAATATTGACAATTTATTCACACTGTCATTACTTGCAGCAATAGCCGATGTAGTGAAGCAACCAAGTTGGGAGTGTGTGTGTTGAATGCTCTCATTAAGGAGGCCAGACTTGGTGGAGGTGGTTGACAGGGGCGGAGCTGCAGGCTATTGAAGGTCTGCTCTGCCCCCTGCTGTGCTCTTTGCTTCAGCGTGAGCTAGGAGGCAGGTTTCAACCCCCCCCCCCTGAAATTTTCAACCCTCCCCAAAATTTTCAACCCCCCCCCCAAATTGTCAACCCTCCCCGAAATTTTTTTCTGGCTACGGCCCTGCCTGCTCCTATAACACACTGAACTACAGTCTACACTGCTATATAATGCAGTTCAGCATAGTTAAAATGCATTCTAGGCATTATATGGCAGTGTAGATGGGGCTTGGGGCTTGAAAAGTAAGGCTTCAAAAAGCGAGGAAGAAACTTTAAAAGTGCGTCTCTCTCTCGCTCTCTCCATTGAACCCACCTGAACGTGTCCCCATCGGGCAGTTTCCTTCCCAGAAACATAACTTTCCCCTCCAACCGTGGGCTGCAGGCGTGGGATGGCTCGCTGGGCGGAAAACGAGGAGCGGCGTGGAGGCGCGCCGTCAGAAATCCGTGGCGATGATGATGGTGGCAGTGATGATGATGATGCTGCCGGGGATCAAAGGGAGCCGCGGCGGGGATGATGTCACGCGCGCGCGGAAAGGGGCACCCCCTCCCCGCCCACGGAGGGCAACCCGTCCCACGTCACCGCCGGCGCGGCTTATAAAGAGAGCCAGGGAGATCCTTCAGGCTGCCAGCCCTCGACCCTCAAGAGAAGCCATCCAGCCGCCTTTCTTTGGTTCCTCCCGTCCGCGATGCTGTGGCTGTGGCTGTCCCTGCTCTTGGGCCCGTCGTGGGGGTCCCTGCTGTGGCGGGGGGGCTCTCCCTGCGAGCCGGTGCGCATCCCCATGTGCCGCCACATGCCCTGGAACCTGACCCGCATGCCCAACCACCTGCACCACAGCACCCAGGCCAACGCCGTGCTGGCCATCGAGCAGTACCAGGAGCTGGTGGCGCAGGGCTGCAGCCCCGTCCTGGGCTTCTTCCTCTGCGCCATGTTCGCCCCGCTCTGCGCCCCGGAGTTCCTCCACGAGCCCATCAAGCCCTGCCGATCCCTCTGCGAGCGCGCCCGCGACGGATGCCAGCCCCTCCTCCGGCGCTACAACCACTCCTGGCCCCCGGCCCTGGCCTGCGAGGAGCTGCCCCTCTACGAGCGCGCCGTCTGCATCGCCCCCGAGGCTATCGTCACCGACCTGCCCCAAGGTAAGACGGGAGCGGACCCAAGGCAAGACCCGCGCCCTCCACTCCACTCCCCTCCTCCCGCGCTCATGCCCCCTTCCTGTCTCTTTCTATGGCAGAAGACATCAAGTGGCTCGACCTGTCCGACGACATCATGGTCCAGGAGAGGCCTCTGCCCCCCGAGTGCAAGCCATCCGGGCACGGTGAGGACCCCCTGAAGCCGACCCTCCTCTCCCCTGACTCTTCCTCTCCCCGAATGCCTAGCTTTAACGCCAAAACAGACCCCTTCTCTCTCCAACTTGATCCTCTTTCCCAAACTTTCCCCTCAAAAACCCGACCTCCCAAGCCTCTTCCTTCCCCATGCATAGTTTCAACTCCCCTCCTTTCCAAAACAGGCCCTCCTCTTCTCCCAACTTTCTTCTCCAACTCCTCTCCAAATCTTCTCACTCTCATCTTCTTCTCGCTCTCCTCTCCAAAACAGATCCCCCTCTCTCTCCAACTTGATCCTCTTTCCCAAACTTTTCCCTCAAAAACCGACCCTCCCAAGCCTCTTCCTTCCCCATGCATAGTGTCAACTCCCCTCCTTTCCAAAACAGGCCCTCCTCTTCTCCCAAATTTCTTCTCCAGCTCCTCTCCAAATCTTCTTCTTCTCACTCTCCTCTACTTCTCACTCTCCTCCCCAAAACAGATCCCCTTCTCTCTCCAACTTGATCCTCTTTCCCAAACTTTCCCCTCAAAAAGCGACCCTCCCAAGCCTCTTCCTTCCCCATGCATAGTTTCAACTCCCCTCCTTTCCAAAACAGGCCCTCCTCTTCTCCCAACTTTCTTCTCCAACTCCTCTCCAAATCTTCTTCTTCTCACTCTCCTCTTCTTCTCGCTCTCCTCTCCAAAACAGACCCCCTTCTCTCTCCAACTTTATCCTCTTTCCCAAATTTTCCCCTCAAAAACCGACCCTCCCAAGCCTCTTCCTTCCCCATGCATAGTGTCAACTCCCCTCCTTTCCAAAACAGACCCTCCTCTTCTCCCAACTTTCTTCTCCAGCTCCTCTCTAAATCTTCTTCTCAGTCTCCTCTTCTTCTCGCTCTCCTCTCCAAAACAGATCCCCCTCTCTCTCCAACTTTATCCTCTTTCCCAAACTTTTCCCCTCAAAAACCGACCCTCCCAAGCCTCTTCCTTCCCCATGCATAGTGTCAACTCCCCTCCTTTCCAAAACAGACCCTCCTCTTCTCCCAAGTTTCTTCTCCAACTCCTCTCTAAATCTTCTTATTCTCAGTCTCCTCTTCTTCTTGCTCTCCTCCCCAAAACAGATCCCTTCTCTCTCCCAACTTGATCGTCTTTCTCAAACTTTCCCCTCAAAAACCAACCCTCCTCTCCAAAACCGACCCTCCCAAGACTCTTCCTTCCTCGAATTCAGTTTCATCAGCTCCTCTCCAAATCTCACTTTCCTCTTCTCTCTCTCCTCTCCAAAACAGACCCCTTCCTTCTCCAACTTGACTTTCTTCTCCAAATGGCGCACCCAGATTCTTCCTCCCCCCCATGCATAGTTTCAACTCCCCTCCTTTCCAAAATAGGCCCCTTCTCTCACAAACTTAACCTCCTCTTCTCCCAACTTTCTTCTCCAACTCCTCTCCAAATCTTCTTCTTCTCACTCTCCACTTCTTCTCACTCTCCTCTCCAGAACAGACCTCTTCTCTCACCGACTTGACATTCTTCTCCAAACTTTCCTCTCCAAAGGCAACCCCCCCTCTCTAAATGGCGCACCCAGCGTCATCCATTCCCAATCCAGTTTCAACTCCTCTCCAAATCCTCCTCTTCTAGCTCTCCTCTCCAAATCAGACCCCTTCTCTCTCAAACTTAAACATCCTCCAAACTTTCCTTTCCAAAAACGACCCCCTTCAAAATGCGCCCAGCATTTTTCTTCCCCAATACAGAGTTCCACTTCTCTGCAAAACAGACTCCTTCCCTCTCCAACTTGACCTTCTTCTCCGAACTTTCCTCTCCAAAGGCAACCCTCCACTCCAAATAGTGCACCCAGCCTCTTCTTTCTCCCATGCATACTTTCAACTCCCTTCCTTTCCAAAACAGGTCCCTTCTCTCTCAAACTTGACCCTCCTCTTCTCCCAACTTCCTTCTCCAACTCCTCTCCAAATCTTCTTTTTCTCACTTTCCTCCCCAAAACAGACCCCTTCTCTCTCCAACTTGATCCTCTTCCCCAAACTTTCCCCTCAAAAACCAGCCCTCCCAAGCCTCTTCCTCCCCCAAATTCAGTTTCAGCTCCTCTCCAAATTTTCTCACTTTCCTCTTCTCACTCTCATCTCAAAACAGACTTTTGCTCTCCTCTCCTAAACAAACCCCTTCTCTCTCCTTGACTTTCTTCTCCAAACTTTCCTCTCCAAAGGCAACCCTCCTCTCCAAATAGCACACCTAGCATCTTCCGTCCCCAATGCAGTTTCAACTCCTCTCCAACTACTCTTCTTCTCGTTCTCCTCTCCAAAACAGATCCCTTCCCTCGCAAACTTGACCATCTTCCAGAACATTTCCTCTCCACAAGGCGCCCAGACTCTTCCTTCCCCAATGCCTAGTTTCAACTCTTCTCCTTTCAAAAAACAGACCCCCTTCTCTCTTAAACTTCTCCCGTCTTTCCTCTCCAAAACCAACCCTCCAGCCTCTTCTTTCCACAATACCATTTCAATTCCTCTCCAACTCCTCTTCTTCTCACTATCTTCTCAAAAACAGGACCCTTCTCTCTCCAGCTTGACTTTCTTCCCCATACTTTCAACTCTGAAGAAGTGCCCAAGCTCTTCCCCAACATTTCCTCTCCAAAATGCGCCCAGACTCTTCCTTCCCCAATGCATAGTTTCAACTCCTCTCCTCTCCAAAACAGACCCCCTTCTCTCTTAAATTTGACTCTCTTCTTCTCCCAACTTTCCTCTCCAAAACCAACCCTCCTCTCCAAAATGCACCCAGTCTCTTCTTGCCCCAAATGCCATTTCATCTCCTCTCCAACTCCTCTTCTTCTCACTCTCCTTTCCAAAAAAGATCCCTTCTCTTGCAAACTTGGCCCTGGATACCAAACTTTCCTATCCAAAATGTGCCCAGACTCTTCCTTCCCCCAATGCAGTTTCAACTCCTCTCCAAATCTTCTCACTTTCCTCTTCTTCTCTCTCTCCTCTCCAAAACAGACCCCTTCCCTCTCCAACTTGACTTTCTTCTCCAAACTTTCCTCTCCAAATAGCGCACCCAGATTTTCCCTCCCCCATTCATAGTTTCAACTCCCCTCCTTTCCAAAACAGGCCCCTTCTCTCTCAAACTTGACCCTCCTCTTTTCCCAACTTTCTTCTCCAACTTCCCTCCAAATCTTCTTCTTCTCACTCTCCTCTTCTTCTCACTCTCATTTCCAGAACAGACCCCTTCTCTCTCCAACTTGACTTCCTTCTCCAAACTTTCCTCTCCAAAGGTACCCCCACATCTATACAGTTACTGCTTGTCCTGCCTGAATCATACTTTTGAACAGTTCTTATTCTTTAGTTTTAAATCTAGTATCACCCATTACTCCTATCCTCTTCTTCAAACTCTCCTCTCTCAAACTGATCCTCTCCTGCCTCTCAAAAACTTGCCTGGCTTCTTCCTGAATTATGTAATTTCTTTCAACTTTCTCTGTGTTTTGTCTTATTTTTGCTCCAAAGATCGCTGCAAGTGTAAGAAGGTGAAGCCCACCCTGGCCACATATCTGAGCAAAAACTACAGCTACGGTAAGGCTCTTGGGAGCAAAGGAACAATTCTAGCCATAATTGCATCTATGAGGGAGATTACACTATGTGACAAAATTTGAAAAATATTCTGTTCCTGGTTTAAAAATATTATTTCCTGTTTAATTGTGCGGTACTTACTTAGAGAGTAGTTGTCATCTTTCAGAAACTTTGTTTTTGTAGCTTCCGCAAATTGGTTGAGACTTGATGAGATAGTCATAAAAAAACTAGAGCAAAGTGTGCTGCTGGATGTCCCACAAAAATGTTTTTATGATAGAGCCAATTACAAAATGACATTTATAATCCAGGAACAAAAATCAGGTTCAAAGGTAAAGGTTTCCCCTTGACATTAAGTCTAGTCATATCTGACTCTGAGAGGTGGTGCTCATCTCCATTTCTAAGCTGAGGAGTAGGAATTGTCTGTAGACACCTCCTAGGTCATGTGGCCTGCATGACTGCATTGAGTGCGGTTACTTTCCTGCCAGAGTGGAACCTATTGATCTACTCACAATTGCATGTTTTCGAACTGCTAGTTTGGCAGAAGCTGGGGTTAACAGCGGCAGCTCACTCCGCTCCATGGATTCGAACTGCCGACCTTTCGGTCAGCAAATTCAGCAGATCAGTGGATTAACCCACTGTGCCACCAGTTAGGAAATGACATTTATAACTCAGGAGCAAAACTCGGGTTATATAGTGTTTTTAGGTCGTGTTTAAGGCTCAAAATAGCCATATTTTGAGCCTTAAACCTATAAGAAAGAGAGTTCACATTTAGGTCTCAATAGATTCATACTTGCATTTATGAAAAAGAAACAGGTTATTATGTTGTGTTGAAGGTTCAACATATCCATAACTGCATCTATTAGAAAGTGGTAGATTATAAGGTACTTTCAGTTGAAGGACCAGACAAAACTATCTGAGTATTTCTTGCCTAGGAGATCTTATGCAATGGAATGGGGCCAAAACACATATTTTACTATGCAGCAGCATCCTTTTGTAACTCCTGTAAATGTTCTTTTTCCTTTTTATAAACTTTTTCCAGTTGTGACTTCTTTCCGCACAATAAGTTTTTATGTGATCCTGGTATCGAAGTATATAAAATAGGTATAAAATCAATCATTTACTGAAAACATATCAGCATTTTCAAGGCTTGCTAAATAAGCTGATTCTCCTTTTTGTGGAGTACGGCTGAATAATTTTTTTCCATGGTCCACTGTAAACACTGTTGTTGCTAACAGATTTAATGGGTAGCATTCAGAAACCTTTTACTGTCACCACATTTTTGTGACCCCAACATTGAGCTAGGGACCCCAGGAGCCACACTTTAGGAAGTAGTGGCATAGACGATCTTTCCTTCAACACAGTGAAAGTTGACCCAGAACTTATCAATATATTTGTAGGTTTGAGATTGTACTTAAATACTTCTAATGTAAGCCACTTTGAGTCTCCTTGAGGAGAGAAAAAGCATGGTATAAATAAACATAATAATAATTATAATAATAATAATAATAATAATAATAATAATAATAATAATTATACATCACACAGTCCTAGACGCTTGGGAAGTGTTCGACTTGTGATTTTGTGATACGAAATCCAGCATATAGATCTCATTTGCTGTGACATACTGTGCTTTTGTGTCAATAATAATAATAATAATAATAATAATAATAATAATGATTGTTATCTAGCCAAATCGGCAGAACACTCAAATAAAACAGGTTGAGTATCCCTTATAGAGAATTCTGAAAGCCAAAATACTCTGAAATTCAAAATTATCCACATCAGCAACTGAGGGCCCTTCCACACAGCCATATAACCCAGAATATCAATGCAGATAACCCACAATATCTGCTTTGAACTAGGTTATCTGAGTCCACACTGCCAGTTAATCCAGTTCAGTGTGGATTTTATACAGCTGTGTGGAAGGGGCCTGAGACTGTGGTACTTTTGCTTTCTGGTGGCTCAACCTACATTTTAATTTTATTTTAAAATTTGTATAAAATTGCCTCTAGGTGATGTCTGTGTCTACAAGGTCTATAAGAAACTTAAAGAATTTCATGTTTAGACTTGGGTCTCATCTCTCAAATACCTCATAATGCACATATATGAAAATATATATAGTTTCCAAAATTCCCCCCTCCAAAATTCCAAAACATTTCTGGTCTCAAGCATTTCAAATAAGGGATAAACAACCTGTAGGTCATATATTTTCTTCAACAGTTGAGCTTCCTTCCTTTATATCCTAAATTTGAAAAATGATCTGATTTGAAAGTGTTATTTCCTGTTTAATTGTGTGGCACGTACTTTGGAAGTAGTTGTTATACTCCAGAAACTCTGTTTTTGTGACTGCCACAAACTATGTTAAATTGGTCAAGACCTGATGAGATATTTGAAAATGATAGCAACATGTGCTGCAGGATGTCCTGCAAAAACTAAATTTTTGTAGTTTAATAAACTTTTCCCATGTGTTTATGATAGAACCAATTAGGAAATGACATGTATAACCTAGTAACAAAAATTGTGTTTCATAGTGTAATTTATTTCTAAATAACAAGATTAATCAAGCCTCATTTCTTCTTTGTTCTCTGTTTTGAGCGGCAGTAGAAGTCTTATGGTACAGACAGCTGCTTGATAACCATGGCATATAAAGGAAATTCGAACTGGCATCTTAGAGCACTTCCAGGCAGGTCCTATATCCCAGGATCTGATCCCAGTTTTTCTGCTTTAAACTGGATTATATGAGTTCGCACTGCCAGATAATCTGGAATAAACAGAAAACCTGGGATCAGATCCTGGGATATTGGGCCTATCTGGAAGAGCCCTAAGGTCCCTTCCACACAGCTGTATAAAATTCAGATTGAACTGGATTATTGGCCAATGTGGACTCAGATAATCCAGTTCAAAGCAGATATAGGGCCTGTCTGGAAAGGCCATCCATGGATTATCTACCTTGATATTCTGGGTTATATGACTATGTGGAAGAGCCCTAAAATAGAAAAGCAAACTTGTTTTTCATTAACATCTCGAAGTCCTGATTTTGGCTTGTCAATGAAATTTTAGCAAGGAAATTATAACATATACAATACTATTTACTCATTTTGTAAAAATGTATAAGCTTAACACAGTGCCAATTCAATTTATATTGGTTTATAAGCGGTTTTGTATCCTAATAGAAAAGAAATAACAAGAGTTTATATTTCAATGGTTTTATGGGACGTAACTATCAAGTGTGCTGTGCAGTAGAACTCTCTGAGATTTGTTTCTGAGAAATATATATCATGTCAGTCTGTTCATTTCCCCCCCAAACCTTCACACATGTGGAATGACACATTTTCTTCTGTTCTATGTGCTGCAGTTATCCATGCTAAAGTAAAGAGCACGGAGAGAGGGAGCTGCAATGAAATCACCACGATGGTTGATGTGAAGGAGGTGTTGAAGTCTTCATCTCCAGTCCCCCGTGCCCTGGTTCCTCTCTATACGAATTCTTCCTGCCAATGCCCTCCTCTTCTACCAAATCAAGATGTCCTCATAATGTGTTATGAGTGGCGCTCAAGGTAAGCAATGAGAACATCACACCTTGAGTTTGATATTAAAATGTCTCGAGTTCCAGATTAAGAATATTAAGGAAAGAGAACCAATTGTATCCTTGGAGGTGATCCATCAACTAAAATGAACGAGGATGACCGTGATGGCAGAGTAGCTCCATACACAATGGAGAACCATTGTGGTGACATGGCTATGCTCAGTCATGAAATATAGTGGGTAGCTTTAGGCCCGTAACTATCAGTCAGTTTATGCTGCCAATAGGGCATATAGAATGCTTGGAGAAATCCTGAGATATAAATATGATTCGTAGTAAAGAAAAATTGCAACAAAATTCTGCATTTGGAATCCTCTTGTTCATTCTCTCAACAGTATTCCAATTCACTCACCATATTACCATATATGCTTAAATATAAGACAACCAGAATATAAGTCAAGGCACCTAATTTTACCACAAAATACTGGGAAAACGTATTAACTCGTGTATAAGCCGAGGATGGGAAATACAGCAGCTACTGGTAAATTTCAAAATAAAAATAGCTACCAATACAATTACATTAATTGAGGCATCAGTAGATTAAATATTTTTGAATCTTTACATAAAACTGTCCAACTCTGATTGGACCATTATTCTAACCTTCTTCGATGTAAATGTGCTTACGTATCCTTCCGAAAATAATAGAGTAAAACAATAAATGTAATAATAATAATAATAATAATAATAATAATAATAATAATAATAACAATAATAGAGTAAAATAATGGAAATGTAATACTTACTTAGGCGATCCCTCATTGTGTGAGTAGGATTGTCTTCCAAGATCGGTGTACTGACAATGGGTCCGTAGGTGACTGTGGAGCCCTATTCTTGATCTGCATGTTCTCCTGCAGTGAGGGCAATGGTTTCCAGGTGGAAAGCAGTCCCGGTTGGGGTTGGCTTGACATGCCTTCCTCTTGGCATGTTTCTCTCCTTTGCCTTCCATTCGTGCCTCTTCAAATTCTACAGCACTGCTGGTCACAGCTGACCTCCAGCTGGAGCGCTCAAGGGCCAGGGCTTCCCAGTTCTCGGTGTCTATGCCAGAGATTTTAAGGTTGGCTTTGAGCCCATCTTTAAATCTCTTTTCCTGCCCACCAACATTCCATTTTCCATCCTTGAGTTCGGAGTAGAGCAACTGCTTTGGGAGACGGTGGTCGGGCATCCGGACAACATGGCTGGTCCAGCGGAGCTGATGGCGGAGGACCATCACTTCAATACTGGTGGTCTTGCTTCTTCCAGCACACTGACATTTGTCCGCTTGTCTTCCCAAGAGATTTGCAGGATTTTTTGGAGACAACAATGATGGAATCATTCTAGGAGTTGCATGTGACGTCTGTACACAGTCCATGTCTCGCAGGCGTATAGAGGGTTGGGAGGAAGATAGCTTTATAAACAAGCCCCTTGGTATCCCTACTGATGTCCCAGTCCTCAAACACTCTTCTTCATTCGGGAAAATGCTGCACTCTCAGAGCTCAGGCAGTGTTGTATTTCGGTGTCAGTGTTGACTTTGGTGGAGAGGAGGCTGCCAAGGTAGAGGAAATGGTCAACATTTTCTAATGTTACACCATTAAGCTGTATCTCTGGCATTGGAAAGGGATTGGCTGGTGACTGCTGGAAAAGCACTTTGGTTTTCTCGATGTTCAATGACAGGCTGAGCTTCTCGTATGCTTCTGTGAAAGTGTTTAGAGTGGCTTGTAGGTCTTCTTCTGAATGCGGAAATGTAATAATAACAGTAATAATACAGTAAAATAATAAATATAATAATAATACACTAAAATAATGTAAATGTACTAATAATATATAGAGTAAAATAATACATGTAATAAAAATAAGAGTAATAACAGAGTAAAATATAGATAAATAACCTTGATTCAAGTATAAGCCGAGGGGGACTTTTTCAGCCTTAAAAAAGGGCAGAAAAACTCGGCTTATACTTGAGTATATACGGTATTTAGTACTCACAGGGTTTTGTTGATTTTTCAGTCTCTGCAGTTTTTTTTTTCATTCATTCCTTTGAATGTGTGTATGCATTTGTTTACATTTGTGAGCCTGTTAATTCTTTCTTTTCATTGGTAGAGTATGTCCTTTCGGCTTTTTAAATGTCAATACTTTGAGAACCGTGAATGCTTTTGGAATATGTCAACAATGTATTTTGATTAGCAATTTCTGCTTGGGAGTGATCTTGAATTAGCAAGACTCATTAGCTTTACAAAAGACCCACTTTCATAAGAGATGCAAATTTCCAGTAATGTTTGAAACTATTGTCCCGCTTAGCCACGTGCCTTTTTGAGTCTGCTTGAGGGCATTGCTAATAGGCTCTCATGAAGTGTAAACACTAGGGCTGTCCAACCACGGAAAAATTTGTTTCTAAACTCGATTCGTTTTTAGGCGGTTTTTGCGTTTCGTTATTTAAAAGAATTCCGAAATTTTTCTTTAAAAAAGTTCGATATTTACGAAATTTCAGAATTACGAAACAATTACGAAACAATTACGAATCGATTCGTTAATGGCGGGTGCGACCGCGCAATACGCTAAAAAACCTCCAAATGGGACAGGGGGAACTTCTGAAGCTTCCCTCTCCCTCTGTTGTTGACTGTTGGTGTGATAATCACTGATAAAACAAACAACAAATATAAAACTTGCACCAGACATACGGAAATAATAACGAAATAATACGAAACAATTTCGAAACAATTACGAAACAATTACGAAATAAATTTTAAAAATTCGTTTCGATTTTAAGTTGCTCCTGAATGGTTCAATATCGCTTCGTTATCAAAAAAAATAACGAATTAATAACGAATTATGAAATTAACGAACGGAACCGCCCAGCCCTAGTAAACACACTTCAAAACCTAACATTACACCATTGCTTAGAATTATCTTTACAGTTGTATATAGAATTGAAATAGTAAAGATAATTTTAAGGCACCCTGTATGATAATAGTGATAAATCTGAACTTCCACATCCAGAGGTGCGATTGTATGCATGCTTTGAAATGGAAGTTGAGAAAACCAGAATAGGATGACAGATTGGGGCATTGGACTTGATGGCCCATTGGATCCTTTCTAACTCTGTAACTATGATTTACAAGTTGAATATCTATGTTTTTATTAGAGAGAAAGTGGGAGGAAAAATAGGTCTGTGTGTGCAACATAGGAAACAACAATTTGGTTAAGTTTGGGGCATTTTAGCATGGCAATGCATCCTTGTGAACAAAAGCTTTCAAAATTAAACTCCGAACTGGGAAAAGATCAGACTAAGTCCCATATTCCATGGAACAAGTTTGCCAGGGATGCTTCTAAAGGTCACTGAGGTTTTCCTTTAATATGCTTTCTTAAGGGATTTGAACAAGACAGCAAAACAAAACATTGTGTTTCTCATTGAACTGGATGATACATAAACAGGGTTTGAGTTACAGCGGCTTTTAAAAATGTCAGCAGTACTGGTGTCTTGCTTGGAAGAGTGCTGAAGTAAATACCACATTTTTGTTTCTATCACAATATGATTTTTATGATTATATTGTGGCCTCGGTCTTGGCTTGAAGGACATGGAAGGCTATGTTGAACTGAGACCATAACGGTAAAGCTCATCACAGATGTTCAGTCTGACACAGTGCTGTGACTAACAAAGAAATAAGGATTTCTTCTCATAAATTATAGTTATTTTTTCTCTATACTGCCTTGGTCAGACCACACCTGGAATACTGTGTTCAGTTCTGGGCACCACAATTGAAGGGAGATGTTGACAAGCTGGATGTATCCAGAGGAGGGCAACTAAAATGATCAAGGGTCTGGAGAACAAGCCCTATGAGGAGTGGCTTAAAGAACTGGGCATGTTTAGTCTGCAGAAGAGAAGGCTGAGAGGGGTCATGATGAGGGCCATGTATAAATATTTTATTTATTTATTTCGCGCATTTCTACCCCGCTTTTCTCAACCCCCGAGGGGGGGACTCAGGGCGGCTTACAAAAGGCACAATTTGATGCCAACACAAACAATAAGATAAAACATATATAAACAGCAATTATAAACAATTAAAACAATCAATTATACATCACAATCAATAAAACCAATCTAATGTTCAATGTTCGCCAGCTCAGAATCTGTAAATTTATTCCACATTGTCAAATCCTATCAATTCTAGTCGTCATTGTCCTTTGTCTATCTGCCAGATTACCCAAAAGCCTGGTCCCATATCCATGTTTTCAGTTTCCTTCTAAAAGAGAGGAGGGATGTCGATGACCTAATTTCCCCGGGAGTGAATTCCACAGGCGAGGGGCCACCACCGAGAAGGCCCTGCTCCTCGTCCCCACCAATCTCACTTGTGATAGAGGTGGGGCCGAGAGCAGGGCCTCCCCAGAAGATCTTAAACTCCGAGGCGGGACGTAGAAGGAGATGCGTTCGGACAGATACGCTGGGCCGGAGCCGTATAGGGTTTTGTAGGTGAAAACCAGCACTTTGAAATTGTGCTCAGAACTGGATCGGCAGCCAGTGGAACTGACATAACAGAGGGGTGGCATGCTCCCTGTATGACGCTCCGGTGAGTAATCTGGCTGCTGCCCGCTGGACTAATTGAAGTTTCCGAACAGTCTTCAAAGGCAACCCCATTTAGAGTGCGTTGCAGTAATCTATTTGGTATATAACAAGAGTGTGGACCACTGTGGCCAGATCTGACTTCCCAAGGTATGGGCACAACTGGCGCACAAGTTTTAAATATGTGAGGGGAAGTCACAGGTAGGAAGGAGCAAGCTTATTTTCTGCTGCCCTGGAGACTAGGACACGAAACAATGGCTTCAAACTACAGAAAAGGAGATTCCATCTGAACATTAGGAATAACTTCCTAACTGTGAGAGTTGTTTAGCAGTGAAACTCTCTGCCCTGGAGTGTGGTGGAGGCTCCTTCTTTGGAGGCTTTTAAACAGAGTCTGGATGGCCATCTGTCGGGGGTGCTTTGAATGAGATTTTCCTGCTTCTTGGCAGGAGGTTGGACTGGATAGTCCATGAGGTCTCTTCCAACTGTATGATTCTAGGGTTACCCCAATAAGTCAGAGGAGTGATATGCCATTCTTTATTTCCCTTACTGCCATAGGATTGCTCTTTATTATTTGGATAGTTCAGTCAAACATTTAAACATTCACATCCTCGAGGAAATAAACTCCAAGTGAAATCCCATAATGTCTACTCCCAATTAAGTCATATAGAGTCTAAGTGGAATGTTATTTCCAGGTAAATGGGATGTTGTCTGACGCCTGAAACATACCTCACTATGCTGGAATCTACAAATCTTAGAAGTACTTATGATCTTTTGTGTCCCTCTTGTTTCTACCATGATTTCAGATTGATGCTTCTTGATGGGTGCTCAGTTGAAAAATGGAAGGAGCCTCTAAGCAAAAGGTTTAAGGTAAGACACTTATTTGATATTTCTAAGAGCTCTTCTAGAAGATGTCATGGATACCTCCTTTCAATTTTCTATAAAGGAAAATTGGCTTCCAGTCAGTAGCCAAAGAGCAAAAATTAACAAAGGGATCGGTTTTAGGTAAACATGATATAATTCAAATAAAACATTTTTCTCACACTCACCACTTAAGATAGAGCACAGGAAGGGAAACTTTCCGAGAGTTATGGCACAATCAAGGGCTATGGCTATTGTTGTGGCTAGCCATGAAGCCAACATTTTCAAGCAGCCCTATTCAGCTCCACAGAAACATCAGACTCATCGGTGTATAAACAAGCTGTTGTTACATGAACACAACACTAAGGCCTTTCCCTCTGCACCACAAGATTGCAGGAGGATACATTGAAATGACCACTTCCTTGGCAGGCTCATCAAAACCTTTTCCAAACTGTTTTGGGGGATTTTTGCCTTCCTCTATTTATCTTGTTGGAAATTCCCTTTGGTTGAGCTTTACCAGAAAAACACAGCCAGTTTTGCTTTGAATAGTGAGACGTTCACTTTTACTGCCCTGCTGCTCTCATGCAGTGTTGGCCTCATCACTCCTGCTTAGGTTAGGTGGACTGGATCAATAAACAGATTGTAATGATTAAATAGAGGGATAATTTGAATTGCTACTCCAGTGATAGTACTTACTTACTTACTTAGGCAATCCCTCGTTGCCCAAGTATGATGGCCTTCCAAGTGTAGTGTCTTAGTGGTGGGTCCATTGTTGTTGTTGTTCAGTCATTTCTGACTCTTTGTGACTTCATGGACCAGTCTACGCCAGAGTTCCCTGTCGGTCATCACCACCCCCAGCTCCTTCAAGGACAATCCAGTCACTTCAAGGATCCCATCCATCCATCTTGCCCTTGGTCGGCCCCTCTTCCTTTTTCCTTCCATTTTCCCCAGCATCATTGTCTTCTCTAAGCTTTCCTTTCTTCTCATGATGTGGCCAAAGTACTTCATCTTTGCCTCTACTATCCTTCCCACCAATGAGCAGTCAGGCTTTTTTTCTTGAAGTATGGACTGGTTGGATCTTCTCGCTGTCCAAGGCACTCTCATCACTTTCCTCCAACACCACAGTTCAAAAGCATCGATCTTCCTTCGCTCAGCCTTCCCTATGGTCCAGCTCTCACATCCGTAGGGGACTATGGGGAATACCATTGCTTTAACTATGCGGATCTTTGTTGCCAGTGTGATGTCTCTACTCTTTACTATTTTATCAAGATTGGTCATTGCTCTCCTCCCAAGAAGTAAGCGTCTCCTGATTTCCTGGCTGCAGTCTGCATCTGCAGTAATCTTTGCACCTAGAAATACAAAGTCTGTCACTGCCTCCATGGATCCATAGGTGACTGTAAAGACATATTCTTGATCCACATGTTCTTCCACAGTGAGAGCATCGGTTATCAGGTGGAAGGTAGTCCCAGTCAGGATTGGCTTGATGTGCCTTCCTTTTGGTACATTTCTCCCTTTTGCCCTCCATTCATGCCTCTTCAAATTCTGCAGCACTCCTGCTCACAGCTGACCTCCAGTTAGAACGCTTGAGGGTTCTCGGTGTCTATGCCACAGTTTTTAAGGTTGGCTTTAAGCCCATCTTTATATCTCTTTTCCTGTCCACCAACATCCTGTTTTCCGTTCTTGAGGAGTATAGTTCATGAGCTTTGGGAGACTGTGATTGTTGTTGTTGTTGTTGTTGTTGTTGTCGTTGCTGTTGTTGCTGCTGCTGTTGCTATTGTTGTTTTTGGTTGTTTTGACAGACACTAGGCTTGAATAAATCACTGCCACCCTTTTCTTCTTTAAATTCTGATCTTCCTCTCTAGACATCTATCTCCTTAAACATGGCATTCCCCCCCATCTTTTTCTTCTGTTCACCCAACTACTAAGTATTATTTAGATTTCAGAAGTGTTATTTAGATACCTGGAGTGTTGCCTGACATAACAACTGTAGGGCCTTGTTAAATCTCCCATTTCTGGAAGCGCTATTTTAAGGAAATGGACTTAATATTTTTATGTGGGGAGAGTAGATGTGGCTGGTGTTTAGGACAGGTTCTTTAAACTTTGGATTGAAATCCAGAGTGGATCCACCACTCTATTGTCCTGCAAATCGATGGTCATCACTGGTCACTAATTCATGAGTTCTCTCTCTCCCTCTCTCACTAATATGTTTGCTTTGTTTTCTCACTGTTTCTCATAGCGATGGGAACAGCGTCTCCAAGAACAGAAGCTGCGAGTAACTCCTAATAAAAACCAGAGTGCTAAAAGCTCCGGACGCAATGGGGTACCAAAACAAAATTTGAAGACAGCCAACCCAGCCCCTTCTGGTCCCAAGAAGATAACTAAACCGAGAAGTGAGCAAAAAGAAGTTAATTCCAAAAAAAATTGAATCACAATTTTTATCCATGCCAAAACTCACAATCTGACCAAAGTGGTATAGGTGTACTCCTGAAACCATCAATGCAAACATTATTGCTATGTTCCAAATAGACCTTATTTACAATAATTTACTGTTAAAAGATGTATTTTCACATCACAGCATGGGGAAAAATTGCTTCTTTATTAAGGCCACCATTACAAAAGTGTTCTAAAAGAAGCATCCACTTTCCATCTCAACGGAGAACTCCATTGCTATTTTTTCAGCACTAAACATTATATTTGTGTATTAAAACAAATAATTTTTAAATATTCTTTAGGCCAGCTTTTTTTAAAAAAAAGAAACAATAATTGATGTACATAAATATGTTAGCTGGAAAAGGTAGTTTGAAAGCTTAGAATAATTCTTGCTACATGTAAATTGATTTGAAAGACTTTAAAATGTAGAATGCAAATATGTAATATTTGGAACTGAAATTAGGGCAAATAGCAAATGCATTTTGCAATATTTTAAAGTGTTTTAAAATGTGTTAGCACATTTTAAGTGTTTGTAATATTTTATCAGAAAAATATTTGGCCTAGACATCTGAGTGCATTAAAACACATACGTTAATCTCTCATACATTGGATATCCCATTCCTTTCAATAGATGGGTGCCAATGATCAAACAATTTTTTAAAAATTATTTTTACAATTATAAAAAGTTAGAGGTTCTGCACATAGATTGGTTCACTTAACTGAAATGAATGTAAACCTTTTGGAAGCTGAGAGGTGCCTTGAGTTTCTTTCCAATCCTTTGCCTTCCACATTTGAAAATGGAATTCAGTTTTACATATATTTTTCTGGTTTAAGTAAATTCCAGTGGGTTCTATATGATGGATGTGATCCAGAGACAAGTAAATGAATGTAATGAGTTGAAAGCAAGTAGAAAATTTTCAATGTAGGATCTATGTTTTAAACACTGGAGAATTTTAAAGTTTGCATTGTTTGCATCAATGGAAGCCCCGGAGTTTGACTATAAGCAAAACATTTGGCTGTAGGCAGGGGCGGCTCAACCCATTACGCAAAGTAAGCATTCACAGTATAGTTGATTTTGTCCAGAGGCGCTCTTGGGGGAAAATAGACCTTGACATATGCGAGTTGTAGTTACTGGGATGTATAGTTCACCTAAAATCAAAGAGCATTCTGAACTCCACCAATGATGGAATTGAACCAAAAATGGCACACAGAACTCCCATGATGAACAGAAAAAATATATATCAATGATTTGGGGGGGGGAGGGGTGCCAAAATACTGTTTGCTTACCATTGAAAATTACCTAGGGCTACCTCTGGCTGTAGGTGTATATACAATAGGATGCTGAGGATTTTTAGATGTGTTTAGTATTGGAATGCATTTTGACAAAGCCATTTCATAATCTTATGTAATGGTGAGCAAGTTTTCTTATCAAAGGCATGCGCAAAGTATTGTGTTCCCAGAGTTGCTATCAGTTTTTCGGGCTGTATGGCCATGTTACAGCAACCCAGTGATTCTGGCCATGAAAACCTTCGACAATACATTGTGTTCCCAGTTTTGAACTTATTTAAATGTAAGTAGCAACCACCATGGCCTTTTCTAGGGGCAGGACAAACCTTGACTTACCTTGCTTTTGCTGATTCTAAAACAAAAGTATTATATTTGGGTCTCCAGATACATTTTGGCTGCGGCTTCTCGTATTCCTTACTAGGACTGATGGGACTTGTGCTCTACAAACATCTGGAGGGCCACCTTTCTTCCAAGCGCCGTTCTGTATTTTTTCATTGAGAACCAGCTGTGCACAGTAATGATAATAATAATAATAATAAACCTTTATTTATACCCCGCTACCATCTCCTGCAGGATTCGGTGCGGCTTACAAGAGGCTGAGCCCAAATACATCATAAAACATAACAAAAACAATACAACAATAAATAACTCATAACAAAGCAAAACAATACAATAACGACACGATGCAATTAAAAACCTGTGGCAGGACCAAATGTAAGAATTAAAAATTTTAAAAATGCTGGGCATATCCAGGGAAATAGGTTGGATATTTTAAAGACAGGTGGGCGTGCAGACAGTACTAACTCTCTCATAAAGTGCATTTGGGACATATTGCTTGGGATGGCTTGTTGGATGGTTGTGCATTGCATTCATTGGTCGTTGGTTCTAATCCTTTCTCCCATCCCTCCCAGATTTATTTATGTCAAACTGATAAACTGTGCTTTATCCACAAAAGGTGACTGGAGATTCAAATTTACTTATTGACACAGCTCTGGAAAAGGGGAGAGGAGTTTTTATAGCTGTAAATTAATCCATGCTGTTCATATCGCCTCTATAACACATTATAATCCTTGCATGTTCAGTCTTGAAAAGAAAAAAGTAGGTCAACCCGATGTCTCCTCTCAGACTCTCAGTAGAGAAGGCTGAGAGAAGACATCATGGCCATGTATAAATATGTGAGGGGAAGTCATAGGGAGGAGGGAGCAAGCTTGTTCTCTGCTGCCCTGGAGACTAGGATGCGGAACAATGGCTTCAAATTACAGGAAAGGAGATTCCACCTGAACATTAGGAAGAACTTTCTAACTGTGAGAGCTGTTCAGCAGTGGAACTCGCTGCCCCAGAGTGTGGTGGAGGCTCCTTCTTTGGAGGCTTTTAAACAGAGGCTGAATGGCCATCTGTTGGAGGTGCTTTGAATGCAATTTTCCTGTTTGTTGGCAGTGGGTTAGACTGGGTGGCCCACAAAGTGTCTTCCAATTCTGATTTCTATGATTCTATGTTAGTATCGAGAGCGCAGTGGCACCAGTTTCTTAGGTCTCTTGTTGTACACTCTTACTAAATGTTATTAATAATACATGTACATTTTAAATTGTCAACTTGATATTTCACTGTAATTTTAATAATTGTTTCAGTTCTAACTGTACTTATTAGCACATTTATGGTACCGTTTATAATCATTTATAACTTCTAGTTTCTGATGTTTTATTTCTCTGAACATAAACAAATATTTTATAATTTTCTTTTTAAAAAATTAAAGCAAAACTAATGTAAAATGATTGCCAGCATAGCATTTGTACCCGTCTTCATAATGTAAGCAAGCATGATTGACATTCTACTGTACAGAACAATAAATATTAAAATCTCTTTCGCTTATTGTATTTTTATTTACTTTGTGGTTTGAAATGCTGGTAAAATAAAGGAACCAGTATTTGCCCAGATTTTTTTTTAATTTTATGCCATTTCTAAATATTGTCATCAAACCTAATTTCATGTGTAGAATTATGAGTCACTTTTGATAATACTAGATAAGTCCACAATATAGTTTAAAATACAAGGTTTTTCATGGAACTCAAGAAAAATTGGAAGAGTCATTTTAGTAGGGATAATAATAATAATAATAATAATAATAATAATAATAATACATTTTATTTATATTCCGCCCTTCTCCCCTAGGGGACTTAAAGCAGATTACAGCATTTACAACAGACATATGCAAACATTAAATGCTTTTACAATCACATACAATGAAGCACACAAACACAAACAAAGACAGAGGCTTCTCCCTTCATTTCCGGCTTCTGATGGCGGTGCTCATCTCTGGCTCTTGGAGATGTTTTTTCTCTCCATTTTCAAACCAAGGAGCTTGTGTTGTCACCTTCTGGTTGTGTGGCCGACAAGATTGTTTGGAGCATCTCTTGCCTTTTCCTGCCAAAGCAGTACCGATTTATCTACTCACATTTGCATGTTTTTGGAACAGCAAGATTGGCAAGAACTGTAGCTAACAGACGGCAGCACGCCCGGTCTCATGGATTTGAATTGGCAACTTTCAGGTCAGCAGTTCAGCAGCACAAGGATTTAACCCATTGTGCCACCATGGTTCAAAGCAGATGTAAACTATGTTTACTAGATGCTCATCCATTTTCTCTTTAAATATCTCTAGCAAAGGAGAATCCAATACCCCTCAAAGTATCACATTTTACTGAAAAATAACTCTCACTGTTAAGAATGAATCCACTGTCTCAATATCATGAAATTTGCTTCCTTGCAAATTGATCCCAGCCCTTACTTACTTACTTACTTACTTACTTACTTAGGCGATCCCTCGTTGTTCGAGTAGGATTGTCTTCCAAGTCCGGTGAACTGGCGGTGGGTCCGTAGGTGACTATGGAGCCCTATTCTTGTTCTGCATCTTCTCCTGCACTGAGGGCACTGGTTTCCAGGTGGAAGGCAGTTTCGGGTGGGGTGGCTTGGTATGCCTTCCTCTTAGCATGTTTCTCTCTTTCACCCTCCATTCGTGCCTCTTCAAATTCTGCAGCACTGCTGGTCACAGCTGACCTCCAGCTGGAGCGCTCAAGGGCCAGGGCTTCCCAGTTCTCAGTGTCTATGCCAGAGTTTTTAAGATAGGTTTTGAGTCCATCTTTAAATCTCTTTTCCTGCCCACCAACATTCTGTTTCCTTTCTTGAGTTCGGAGTAGAGCAACTGCTTCAGGAGACGGTGGTCGGGCATCCGGACAACATGGCCGATCCAGCGGAGTTGATGGCGGAGGACCATTGGTTCAATGCTAATGGTCTTTGCTTCTTCCAGCACATTGACATTTGTCCACTTGTCTTCCCAAGAGATTTGCAAGTTTTTTCGGAGGCAACGCTGATGGAATCGTTCTAGGAGTTGCAAGTGATGTCTGTAGATAGTCCACGTCTTGCAGGCATATAGCAGATCCTAGCCCTATCCTTCACAGCAGCCCCATCTTCTGCATGATGCCTCTTTAAAACATTTGAACACAGATATTATGCCTTCTCTTATATACCAAAGTCTTTCCAACATTACTTGTAGAATTTACTTTGTATCATTCTGCTCAATCTTCTCAGGATGTATTTTAATGTATCCCTGCCTTTCACAAAAATGTGGAACCAGAACTGGATCCAAAGAATTTGGCAAAAGAGCTGACCTGCTTTGATTATCCCAAACTGAAGAATCATACACAGATCTCAGGTGTTTATATCAGGAGGCTATTTTAGTTGACTCAGCAGCCAAAAACAATCTTGGCTGCATTCCCAAGCTAACAAAAATGAACAAAATGTTGGCTGAGTGGGCTTATTAACAAAAGACCCTTCCCATAAATGCACAGCAGAGTAATTTATTAGCAGCATCATGACCAAACATCAATAGCCAAATATGATTAAAAAAAGAACAAAAACACACAGACCAATGTTATTGCTTCCTTTGGAGGTTTTTCTTTGTAACAAAATAACATGGTTGCATTATTTACACAAATAAGCTTTCCATCACACAAATAAAGTTCTTTATACTTCCTTCTTAGTTTCCTTGCTCACTGGGCTTCTTTCTCATGCAGATAAACAGCTTCCAACTTTGCTCTCACAGAGCCTCCACTCACACTGAACTTACACAGCAGCTTCACACAGCAGCCTTCACGCTGGAGGAGCTTCACACAGAAGGCCTTCAACCTGGGACTTCTCTCATCGAAGCTTCTCACACAAGGGCTTACTTAGGCGATCCTTTGTTGTCCGAGTAGGATTGTCTTCCAAGATCGGTGTACTGACGGTAGGGTCCGTAGGTGACTGTGGAGCCCTGTTCTTGACCTGCATGTTCTCCTGCATTGGTTTCCAGGTAGAAGGCGGTCCCGGTCGGGGTGGTTCAACACGCCTTCCTCTTGGCACATTTCTCTCTTTTGCCCTCCATTTGTGCCTCTTCAAATTCTACAGCACTGCTTGTCACAGCTGACTTCCAGCTGGAGCGCTCAAGGGCCAGGACTTCCCAGTTCTCAGTGTCTATGCCAGAGTTTTTAAGGTTGGCTTTGAGCCCATGTTTAAATCTCTTTTCCTGCCCACCAACATTACGTTTTCCGTTCTTGAGTTCAGAGTAGAGCAACTACTTTGGGAGATGGTGGTCGGGCATCCGGACAACGTGACTGGTCTAGAGGCACAACTGTTTATATTACCACCCTATTGGTTTTGCTTAGTCATTGCAATTTAACCCTTTCAGTGCCTGATCAATATTTTTGTAATTAAAAATGTTTTTGTGGAACACCCTGCAGCCCATTTTACTATAGTTGTTCAATGAATATAGAGTTTCAGCCAATTCAACATTGGCAGCCACAAAAACAAAGTTTCTGAAGTATAACAACTCTTTTTAAAGTAAATACTATGCAATTAAACAGGAAATAACATTTTCAAACCAGGAACAGATCATTTTTCAAATTGTGTTACAAAGAGTCTTTTGAGAGTTATTGAAATGAATTAGATCTTAAGACTAATTTGACCAATTTGCTCTAAATATGACTAAGCCTGGATCCAAATCTGAATGGCTCTGAATGAGAATTTCTCTGTAATGTTTCTCTTCTACACTTTCCCTGCTCACCACCCATTTACTATAACCATCATTTTCACAAGCTGGAAGTACAGTTTTGATCACTGCATCTGCAAAGAGATGTTTGAAAAGGGGAGCAGTAAATTATTTCATGGATACTAACCAAACAAGTTTAAATCACAACACTTGCCTCAAAAACAAGAGGCACATAAAATACCATCTGAAGAGGTCTATACATCAATATAGCGGACAGGAAATGATTGGGAGGCCTTTTCAAAGAATAGTAATTTTGCCCAAATGGTGTAGCTGAAAAAATGGTGTCTGAAAACAAAGATCAAGCAATAATTTAATAAAATTGTATTGTATGTTAACCCTATGAAGGGTCTGAGCTAGCCATAGAAATGGTATAATCAGTTTATGGTGCAGCTTTTAAAGCATCTCTCAAGCATTCTTGTTTGTGTTGTGAATACTCCAGTTAGCATGTGCCTATATCTATGTATGTTGTAACGAAATAGTTAATGTATGTTTTAAATGTGTTTTTTGATGTTGGGATATGATAAGTGCAGGCCAGCTTATGTGTTGCCTCAGCTGAGACGTTGCCTCAGCTGAGACATAGCGATGGAACCGACTGTTAGAATGTATCCAAGTTAGAGAAGCCAAAGAGGCGGAGCTAACTGCCACTTGGCAGGGGCAGGCATTTTAAAAAGTGAGTTTCTTTTGGTCAGTCATTTGTGAGGAAGCCAAAGAGGAAAGTGGAAAGTAGCAGCCAATAGTGAAAGGACCAAGGCAGAGACATCTCCAGCTCATCCCCTGTTTGGCTATCAGCCAGCACGTCAACAACTTAAATCTAGAAATAGTTTTCTAAGATCTACAGAGATACTCGCTGGAACACCTCAGCAAGCGAGAGTCCAAAAGTGGCAGGCTCAAACCCAGAACCTCAACCAATGGCTGATATCAAACGAGAAATTCCCCCCTGGGCAAACAGAAGACTGGGCGACTTGGAAGGTGTTGAACAGACTGCTCTCTGGCACGACAAGATGCAGAGCCAACCTCAAGAAATGGGGCCACAAAGTGTAATCCACGACATGCGAGTGTGGAGAAGAGCAAACCACTGACCACCTGCTGCAATGCACCCTGAGCCCTGCCACATGCACAATGGAGGACCTTCTTGCAGTACTCCAAGTGGCCAGCTACTGGTCAAAGGACATTTCATCAACTACCAAACTTGCAAATTTTGTATTTTGTCTGACTGTTTGTTTTGTTCTGTTAGAAATGTAATACAATTGACAATTGACTGGTTGCCCTGACACGACAAATAAATAATAAATAAATTGTGAAGATTTCAAGGAGTTATGACTATGTTTTGAATAACCAATATGTTTCAGGTTCGTACAATATATTATGTGATTTAGTGTGCCAACTTAGCATATTGTTCTTAGATTATTTCCTAAACCCAAATCATGCCAAAAGGACTAGTAAAACTTCTTCCATTTCATCCTCACATGTAATAACAAATTATTATGTTAGTTTTATCCCTGCTGAGAGAGACAACAAACATTCCTCCACAGTATTCTCCTCATAGTCAAATGTTCTGAAATGTAATGATGGAATTGTTCTGCAGAGAAAAATATGTATGTGAGTGTGTAGGAGAGTGCAGATAAAACAGGTATTTTGCACAAACTCTGCAAAATATTTCCACTGCAATGCTTTGGGACATCACATAATTAAAGGAAATTTGTGCAGACTTCTTACTAATCTTTTATTCTTCCTGATAGAATTTTCTGACTGTTAGAAAACCCAGTGTTGTTGTTGTTTTGACTTGTGAATTAGTAATTGTGAACGTTCTTTCCACTCCTAAATGACACTTGTAGAAACATAGCAGATATTATAAACTGGAAAGAACCCCATGAGCCACATCTCTCTCTCTTTGACTCTAAATCTTCAGTTATGTACAGCTTTCTTGTACTTAAAATCTGATGATGATACAAGATATTATATCAGAGGAAGCTATTTCCTTCTTGAATTACATGCTAAATTTCCACAATTACTCGTGGAATGGAGATAGCATTCTTAACTTGCACAATCCAAAAGCAACACTATTTATTAGGAACATAAAGTGTCGCAGGGAGCCCTTTATACTTGAAAATAACCATCTTTTGAAAGATAGTTATACATAAACATACTTCTGCTTCAAGCTCTCCAAATCAACATCGCCAAAAACAAAATTAATGGCTGTTGCAGCATGTTCTTCATTTGATGACCCATGAACAGCGTTGCGCAGAATATCTTTTGCAAACTGAGCCCGCAATGAATCCGGATTAGTTTCTTTTGCCTTCTCTGGATCAGTGGGCCCCATTAATTTTCGCCAGTCTTCTACAGCATTTTCTTTGGTGAGAATCATGACCATGGATGGACCACTGGAAAACCAAGGCATACAACATCATTTGTGTGGCATTTGTTATTAAATATTACATGCTGAGGGAGTTTGTTGGAGTGTGCTCCTTATGTTAATAGCATGCTGCAGACACCAGAGATAAAGACAAACTCTCATTGGGGCATAAGAAAGTAATTCACTCCTTTCTTGTTTTGAATCCTCCATCTATCTTTTTTCCTTGTTTAGACAACCTTTATATGATATCATGTAAAGATTTTGGGGTAACTTCAAGAATCCTTGGAAGAAGCAAATTATCTGGATCTACTTTAGTCTGCTTTCAGACTGGGGCTTGGTATTGTATTGATCATTCTGACTGGTGATCTTCTCCAGAGAAAAGATAGGGTGGAAATGGGATGGACTGCTATTTAATGATCCTCCTTGATCTTTCATGGTATCCTGTGTGGGATATACTGTGCATAGGGATATTTCTATTCATCTGGATTCTATGGGGTGCTACAGGATTCTTGACCATGGTAGTCCACACTCTGGTTATATCCCATATAGACTACTGCAATGCTCTCTATGTGGGGTTGCCTTTGAAGGCTGTCTGGAAGCTTCAAATGGTCCAGCAAATGACAGCCAGATTGCCAAAAGGAGCAGTGCTCAGGGAGCATACAACTCCTCTGTTGCGCAAGTTCCACTGGCTGCCAGTTTGCTACTGGGTACAATTCAAAGTGCTGACTTTAACCTATAAAGCCCTAAATGGTTCTGGCCCAACTTACATGTCCGAACGCATCTCCCCTAATAAACCATCTAGGACCTTAAGATCAGCTGGGGAGACCCTGCTGTCGTTACCGCCTTCATCACAAGTATGTTTGACGGAGACGAGAGACAGGGCCTTCTCGGTGGTGGCCCCTCGGCTGTGGAACGTCCTTCCTATAGATATTAGATCAGGCAACTCCCTTTTAACATTCCGGAAAAAAGTCAAGACGTGGCTTTTTTGAACAAGCGTTTGCTAATGCAGAGTAACCGACACGGGAAAATTGAACTGACAATGAGTCCAGATAACGTTTTTAAGAAGGAGAGACTATGAATTTATATTTTATTGATTTGTTTAGTTTTTATTATACGTTATGTTTTTAATTGCATTTATGACATTGTAAGCATTGATTTTTGCCCTGTTAACTGCCTTGAGTCGCCTACAGGCTGAGCAAGGCGGTATACAAATACAGTAAATAAATAAATAAATAAAAATTCTATCATGCTTTTCAATATCTACTTATTAGGGCTGTGCAAACATTCACTTGTGATTCATTTTTCGTATCTGTTTTGTAAGATCTGTACATATGAGGCAATATTAAGAAACGCGAGGAGCACCCACGCAAAATCTTAAGAGTCAAAACAGTCACCTATGACTTTTTGTTAAAGTTTTGTATACCTCCCAAAGTCAGTTTCATTTTCAGCACAAGCAGAAAACCATACCAGTGGTACAAAGCCAAAGAGGGCATTCCTCTTTAAATTAAGGGAAAACCAGGTTGCATGTCGCATTGCTCACTTCACTTCACTTATTACTTTTTAAATAAAAAGTAATGATAATATATTGCATCAGTTTTTAAAAACATTTTGAAAATACCAGGCACTTTTAGCCTATTTCTTAAATTCAGAATTAGAAAGGATGCGCTTATAGCATATTGCATTAAAAAAAAAACCCACACACTTACTTTGACATATACTCAACAAGCTGACCAAAAAAAGGTTGATCTTCTTGAGCTTTATAAAACTGTGCTGCCATCTCAGGTGTTATCTGTGTTTCTTTCATTTCAGATATGATAAATCCGGCCTCTTTTACTTTGTTTATTATTTCATCTTGGAGGGAAAAGTAGAAATAAGTCACATTATTTTAAAAGCATATAGGATTGAGAAATTCAAAATATTTTAGCTCTTAAACTGTAAGGTACAAATTATGATTGATCACTACATAATAATAATAATAATAATTTATTTATACCCCGCTACCATCTCCCAAGGGACTCGGTGCCGCTTACATGAGGCCGAGCCCACAATACATCAATAATAAAAGCAATAACAAAAAATAATACAAAACAATAAAGTAAAACTCATAACAAAAATAAGCAATAAACATTAAGAGTAACACGAGAAGACCTTGGGTGTGAAGCTCCAGTGTGAAGGCTGAACTTTGTGTAATGGAATTTTTGTTCTTGTAAATGTTGTTGTTCATTCATTCAGTCGTCTCTGACTCTTCGTGACCTCATGGACCAGCCCACGCCAGAGCTCCCTGTTGGCCGTCACCACCCCCAGCTCCTTCAAGGTCAGTCCAGTCACTTCAGGGATGCCATCCATACATCTTGCCCTTGGTCGGCCCCTCTTCCTTTTACCTTCCACTTTCCCCAGCATAATTGTCTTCTCTAGGCTTTGCTGTCTCCTCATGATGTGGCCAAAGTACTTCAACTTTGTCTCTAGTATCCTTCCCTCCAGTGAGCAGACGGGCTTTATTTCCTGGAGGATGGACTGGTTGGATCTTCTCGCAGTCCAAGGCACTCTCAGAACTTTCCTCCAACACCACAGCTCAAAAGCATCTATCTTCCTCTCAGCCTTCCCTAAGGTCCAGCTCTCACATCCGTAGGTTACTACAGGGAATACCATGGCTTTGACTATGCGGATCTTTGTTGCCAGTGTGATGTCTCTACTCTTTCTATTTTATCGAGATTGGACATTGCTCTCCTCCCAAGAAGTAAGCGTCTTCTGATTTCCTGGCCACAGTCTGCATCTGCAGTAATCTTTGCACCTAGAAATACAAAGTCTGTCACGGCCTCCACTTGCCCAACAAAATTCACCCACCAATGGGGGGCCAAAGGGTCAGGGGTCCATATTTGACCTCCCAAGTTCTTGTTGCCAGTTGTTACACCTTTTGACCTTCTAAAATGGGATAAAAACTGAAATATATCAAGCAAACTGTGTCACGTGGAAGGTAGAGTGCCCTCTTCATTGGTACACATTACACCTCTTGTTGTTGTTGTTCATTCGTTCAGTCGCCTCCGACTCTTCGTGACCTCATGGACCAGCCCACGCCAGAGCTCCCTGTCGGCCGTCACCACCCCCAGCTCCTTCAAGGTCAGTCCAGTCACTTCAAGGATGCCATCCATCCATCTTGTCCTTGGTCGGCCCCTCTTCCTTTTGCCTTCCACTTTCCCCAGCATAATTGTCTTCTCTTTCCTGTCTCCTCATGATGTGGCCAAAGTACTTCAACTTTGTCTCTAGTATCCTTCCCTCCAATGAGCATTCGGGCTTTATTTCCTGGAGGATGGACTGGTTGGATCTTCTCGCAGTCCAAGGCACTCTCAGCACTTTCCTCCAGCATCACAGCTCATACAAGCCCTTTAATGTGCGTTTTAGTATCCTTGAGATTTCACCTACCTGTGTCCAAAGAAATACGGTTCTATGACATGCTTTTGCCAGGTTATTCGGAGGACCAAGAAATGCCAGAGGTCTCGTTTCTAGGCATTTTCTGAATGCTTAAGTGCAATTCTATAGTAAACTTCCACTTTGGTATGACTATAACTGTGCCATAGAGTGGTATTCTCTCTACACATTTTCAAGCTCCTCCAGTGAGATTCTGTGGTACGCTTCTGACAGAAGTGCCATTTATATCACACATTTTTGTTCTGATTTTTCCCCCCAAGGATATTGAATTGTAATTTTGCCTGTCTAAGTGGCTTTCCCACATTCCCTCCCTCTTGTAGCTCCGTGTGTCCAACCAACATTTGTTCTCTAGACCCCATCTACACTGACCATTTAATGCAGTTTCAAATCAATATTGCTCTGTAGATTTTTTTTTTGTCGTGTCAGGAGTGACTCCTGGTGTGAGAGAATTGGCCGTCTGCAAGGACGTTGCCCAGGGGACGCCTGGATGATTTGATGTTTTTATCATCCTTGTGGGAGGCTTCTCTCATGTCCCCGCATGAGGAGCTGGAGCTGATAGAGGGAGCTCATCCGCCTCTCCCCGGATTCGAACCTGCGACCTGTTGGTCTTCAATCCTGCCGGCACAGGGCTTTGACCCACTGCGCCACCGGGGGCTGTGTAAATTATTACATAGGAAATCCTGAAGCCATTTCAGGTCCAGATAGTGATTTCACAAAACACAGAGCACTGATACACATTAAGGGCTTTATTTCACATTCTTTTGTGGTAGTTTGTTGTCACTTCTGACACAATAAATAAATATGTATGAAGATAATTGTGTACAACTTTCTTATGGCATTTACCTTTATGTTCCTCAAGAGCAGTGGGTTTAATGACAGCTAAAGTGTTTTCCACAGGGAAAAAGAATTCTAATTCCCTTGCTGCTTGGTCAGGAGTTGTGCTGCCATGCAGCTGATTGATTGGCGCAGTGTCAATAGAAAATTCTGCACGTAAACTAGGAGAAAATAAATTAGAAAATTTAATATATGGTATGGCTGTTTCACGTTCACAAATTGCAATGGCAAACTCTGCTACAGTGGATATTCTAATTCTAAATACATACACACACACACACATGTATATACAAGAAGGATCGAAAAACTTGGCTTTTTCGATGTGCCTTTGGAGAGTGACCGTATACTTACTCCCTGTTGTTTCTCTCATATTGCACCTCCCTCCACCTTTTTGTAGGCCCTACGTGTTTTGTCCCCTACGTGCCCCTCCCTTACAAATATACCTTTTTCATTCTTATCTCATCCAGAGTTTTATCATTTTATGTCGTACATTTGGCCCGCTGACTGTGTTTGATTTTTTCACTTTGTCATTTTTCACTGTTTTATTTTGCTCTTATGTTTTACTTATTTTATTGTGTTGTTATTTTTTGTCGTTCTGTATTATTTTGCTGTAATGTATTACTGGGCTTGGCCTCATGTAAGCCACCCCGAATCCCCTTTGGGGAGATGGTGGCGGGGTATAAATAAAGATGATGATGATGATGATTATTATTATTATTATTTATATGTGGTTCATATCTGCATGCGCTGTGAAGATCATTGTGGGTTTATGTGTATTTCCCATTATTTTCTAATCTCTCATCCTTTGCCAGCTTGAGGATCCCAACACTGTAGATGTTTGTCATGTATTTGTTCGGCAGTGCCAATGGAATGGCCACATTATGGTGTTTAAACTTCTCCAGGTGATTGGGAAGGAGAGATAACAACGTAGCCCATCCAAGTCAATCTTTTTATCCTATGGCCAAATTTGAGGGAGTGTGATTCATGAGTGAAGAAAGCACTGGAACAGCAGTTCCCAAAGTGTGCTCCGGGGAGCCCTTGGGGCTCCACAAAGCATACTGAGGGGCTCTGCACTTCCCCTCTCCTCGCCCCCTCCTCCTTCCCATCCGAGCTTTCCCTCGTTATTCCTGCTCCTCACCCCAAAGCCTTTTCCCCCCACCTCTCTCACCTCCCAGATCCATTTCCTCTCACTGTGCTTGCTTCCCTACCTCCCACTGCTCAGTTTTTTGCTTTTCAGGCATGGCAAAAGGGGGCTGGATTGGATAGCTCCTGGGGTCTTCAACTGAAATACTGTTAAGTTTATATTGGTCAAAAAGGTTGCCCATGCCTGATATATTGATACACACACACACACACACACACACACACACATACTAGCTGTACCCACCATGTGTTGCTGTGGCCAACCTTCCCTCCCTCTTTCTCTCTTTCCTTCTTTCTCTCCTTCCTTCCTTCTCTTTCTTTTCCCTTCCTTCCCTCTCTTTTCTTTCTCTTCCTCTTTTCCCCCCTTTCTTCTTTCTCTACCTATTCTTGGACTGCAACTCCCTGCAGTCCTCCTGATCAATCTACCTACCTATCTATTGCTATCTAAACTATCTATCTGGAGGATTGCTGGGAGTTGCAGTTCAGGAATAGGAAACTGGAAATATGCAGGGATTGGGATGATCTCAAAGAAATCCAAGGAGAAGAAAGCTTGCATCTTGGAAGCAGTGCATTTGGATCATCCTCCTCTCCTAAAGGGCCTGGTCTAGGGGATGCTGGAAGCTGTATTCTGGAAGAGAGTGTGGATATGCTATTGTGTGTTTTGTTTGCTGGGGGAGTTGTTTTTGCGTATGCACTGTAGCGTCTTTTTGATTTTGGGGCTTTTAAAGTCTCTTCCACTGGGTTTTTCAGTGTTTTTATAAGTGATGGTCACTCCTTGGCCTGACAGGTGTATTGTGTTCAAATTTGGTGAACATTACGTTTATACACACACACACACACACACATATTTTGCACAGTTTTTATATATAAAAACTATGCAATATAATATATAAACATTTCTTGAGGCTCCACAAGAAATATTTGCTTCAAAAAGGGATCCTTGGTTGAAAAAGTTTGAGAACCCTGCACTGGAGTTTGCTTCAGTTAAATCTGGAGGAAAAATTATATAACAGATTCTGTCTATATTTTGGAATTTAGAGTGAATGTAAGTATTTGAAGATTATTAATAACATCTATAGAAAGACGCATAACTTTTATAAGCATCAAATAATATTTCACTGGAAGTTATAGTTTAATATTAGAACATCTACCAATGATTCTATGATATCTACTGCAAGTCAGAGTTAAACAGCAGATCTCATGGCCAAAATGTCTAGCCACATCTGTAGACTTCTATACTTCATTCTATCTTATAAACATGGCAAAAATACACACACACACACACACACACACACACACCATTAAGTTTTGTTTTACTAAGTAATGGGGAGACATGCTGCCAACAGGCCACATTTCCTCCTTCCCTGACCTTTGGTGATGCATTTTAAGGGAGTCTCATTTTAAGGAGATGTAATAGCATGCCCACTGGTGTTGTATGCACTGGTCTTGCAACTTAACAAACTCTTTGCTAAAGGTTCACATGTATACTCTTGAAGTTATTTATTTTGTAACTGCACTAAATTCTGCTACAAGGTGCTAAAAAAGTACTGTCCAGATGATGGCACTATTGTCACATGATAATGATTTTCATGCTTGGAGTGCAAACATATATAACTTCATTTATTCATTCATTCATCCTGCACAGTTATTTCATCCAAGTACCTCATTGGGCATTGCTCCTTTGCCTCTTCGAGTATCTTTGGACCCAGCAAGCCTCTCCATTTTTGTATTGCATGTTCTTGTACCAGAGCAAGTGCAAGAGTTGGCCCACTATAGAAAGAGAGTAGATTTAAAAAATGTTATAACCACATCTATTTCCCAGTAATGTGACTATTTTAATGTATATTTAATGTAAACTACATTAAATGTGTTCATTCCATATCAATTCTAAGGATATTAATCATCCAAAAAGCTGAGTTCAGCATTTCCAAATGAAGGATTTTGTACATGACTAAGAGGAGTAAAAACATCAATGACCTCTGAAAGAAATTGCCTACTAAAATAATTTCAAAATATTCAGTTCCTAATATAGTTTGAGACACTTTCATTCAATGTATAGGTTTTTTTATTTAAAAAAAATGAAAGATAAAGATAAGACTAGATTTAATTAATGTATAGAACTCATTCATAGAACTTTGTTCAAAATGGAATAGACTTTACTGAGTTCTACACTTTATCCAGCTAATGCAGTGGTTCTCAACCTGGGGTCCCCAGATGTTTTTGGCCTACAACTCCCAGAAATCCCAGCACTTACAGCACTCTTTTGAACCATGCAGGCAGAGGCGGCCCTAGGTAATTTTCAATGGTAAGCAAACAGTATTTTGGCCCCCCCCCCCCAACCAATCATTGATATATATTTTCTGTTCGTTATGGGAGTTCTGTGTGCCATATTTGGTTCAATTCCATCATTGGTGGAGTTCAGAAGGCTCTTTGATTGCAGGTGAACTATACATCCCAGTAACTACAATTCGCATATGTCAAGGGCTAGGCGAGGCTCAAGGGCCCGGCCCCTTCAGGAAGAGGATCACCCGGCAGCGAGGCAAGGAAGCTGAGGCTCCTCCCGGACTGCTAGGGCTGTTGTGAGCTGAGGGGGCGCTCCTCAAGTGGCGGTCGAGGGGCATTTACAGAGGTGCCTCTGCGCCCCTGGCAAAAAAAACGTGTTCTGCGACCGCTTACTTTGCGTAATGGACGAGCCGCCCCTGGTTTTAGGCCAAAAACATCTGGGGACCCCAGGTTGAGAACCACTGCTAATGCCATCAGTCTCACTACAGGACTCAGGGCCCTTCTAATCCAGAATATCAAGGCAGATAATCCACATGATCTGTTCTGAACTGGATTACTTGAGTCTGCACTGCCATAAAATCCAGTTCTAAGTGGATAATTTGGATTTTATATGGCAGTGTAGAAGGGACACTTCTGGTCCAGTCTATCTTGGAGACCATATCACTTTCTATGAACCGATGCAGGGACTAAGATCTGCCAGGGAGGCCCTTCTCTCAGTCCCACCTCCATCTCAAGTATGGTTGGTGGGGATGAGAGACAGGGCCTTCTCGGTGATGGCCCTCCAGCTTTGGAATACCCTCCTCAAAGAGATTAGGGTGGCCCTCACCCTCCAGGTTTTTCATAAACAGCTGAAAACGTGGCTTTTTACACAAGCTTTTTGACCATGTTTAGGGATTATAAATCACTATATTTGTAAACAGAGGCGGCCCGAGGTAATTTTCAACAGTAAGCAAACAGTATTTTGGCGCCCCCCTCGCCAACCAATTACTGATATATATTTTCTGTTCGTCATGGGAGTTCTGTGTGCTATGGGAGTCTTGGTTCAATTCCATCATTGGTGGAGTTCAGAATGCTCTTTGATTTTAGGTGAACTATACATCCCAGTAACTACAACTCGCATATGTCAAGGTCTATTTTCCCCCAAGAGCGCCTCAAGAGCGCCCCTGGGCAAATCAATTATACTGCGAATGCTTACTTTGTGTAATGGGTTGAGCTGCCCCTGTTTGTAAACTTAGACTGTTTCACTTTACGAGGACAAATATTGCTGCTATTTTATAGCTTGTCGGTTCTTTTAGAATTTTAAATTGATAGAGGTTTTATTGTTGTTTTATATGTAATGGGGCCAATATTAATTTAACCTTTTATATTTTGTTGTATGTGTATTGTGTGGTACTACTGAGTACATCCTGTGAGCCGCCCCGAATCCCTCCGGGGAGATGGTGGCAGAATACAAATAAAGTTTATTATTTATTATGATAAGACTTTCTAATTTACATATTCCTTGACTCTGCACATTAAATAATTAACTTTAGCACTGTACAATTATATGATTCTCTGATCAGTATAGAGAGTCAATAGAGATGGTTAAGAAGTCCTCTCTCTGAAACATTCTTATGGATCTAAGTGCTCATCCTTGTGTGTATATTTCTTATTAAAGATATACAGTATATTTCTGAGTACTGTTTGATTCTCATTATTGGGGCAGATTTCTGAATTGTTGCTGCATTGTGCAAAATGAATTACCTGGTCATTTCTTCCAGGAGAATTGGGAAATAATCTTCATTTTCATGCTCTTTGTAAAACAAGCGTGCTTGATCTTCCGTTAGGACTATTTCCCTTTGCATTGCTATTTCAAAGCCATCTTCTGCAATCCTTTTCAGAATAGAGTCTGAATGCAAATGATAAAAAAGAACACTGCATTGTACCATGCTAAACCATACCATTAGGTACTGGAAGGGCAATGAGGCTTCTCTAGATTTTGCTGGATTGTAACTTACACCATTATTCAAATGGATCAAAGGCAAATGTTCAAAGGTAAACTTGCTGGGGCAGGAATCCTATAATGGTGATGGCCTATCACCCTCTTTGTAGAGGTCTGATGGACTGCTTCTTTCCCATGAGACTGTGGGAATGACACAAGACACTTGGAGCATGCTCCACCTGCCTTCAATTGTTTGGTGATGGCCCATGTGTCTTCTCGAAGGTGAAGAGAAGGCTGGTGGAGGAGGAAGGCTGTTTGAGTGCAAAAGGTAATGCCAGCTCTTGCACCTCTAGACCATATTTGTCCCTTGCAGAAGTGATGAGTGAAGAAACAGTGGGAGCAATGAAGGATATTTGGTGGGATTCTTGTCCACCCTTGGTTGTCCACACCCAACTCATTTGAAATATGGAGAGAAAGAGGAGTAGAGAGAAGCGAGCTAGCTATTGAAACCAAGAACATGGAAGGAAGGTGGCAAACTGTCCATCCAGGAAAAGACTACCATTAAAAAAGCCTTGACTTTATGCTCTCCCCACCAAGACAGGGTAACACCAAAGAACCACACATTCTGCCACTGTCATTTTTCTTTTCAGAAATTCAAAAAGGCCAGAAGCAGTGTTGCGATGTACAGAGGGTAGATCAGTTAAGAACATTCCCAAAGCAATCAACCGCAATATCAACAATACCTCTTACTCAAATTTTCATGTCTGTAAGGGGAAAATGCAAGTTACCATGGAGTCAATACCAGAAAGAAGATATCTATAAGGTGCTGTGAGTTTTCCATGCTGTATGGCCATGTTTCAGAAGCAGTCTCTCCTGATGTTTTGCCCACATATATGGCAGACATCCTCAGAGGTTGTGTTGACCTCACAAGCTCTGAGAATGCCAGCCACAGATGTGGATGAAATGTCGGGAGATAATACTTCTAGAACATGACTGTAAAATACGACGAACAAATGACAAATACAGGGTGAGGCAGCATAACTTCCTTTTTTCAAAACTTAATAAAACCCATTGTATGAATCAGATTTTTTTTTATAATGTAGGCGCATACCTAAAGTTTTGTTTTATGTAGTTTTGAAGATCAAATTAAGTAGGTGATGTCCTCCATTCTCCATACACCAAGTAAACCGATATCTGGCATTTGTCATGACTCTTGCCAGCATAGCATGCGTTATGGTGGCAATTTCTTCCTGGATGTTGGTCTTCAAATCTTGTAGGGTCCTTGGATGGTTCACATAAACACAGGATTTAAAAAAAACCATAGAAAAAAATCACAAGGGGCCAAATCTGGAGAGCGGGCCAGCCACTCCAAATGCACTCGAAAAGTAGGCCTCAATGGCAAAAGCACGCTCCTCACTGTTCCAACGCATGATGGTGACTGAACTGTGTCAGGACAAAACTTTATACTCCCGCCTCTTGAATGAGACCATTAGCGCTCCACTACGTCTTCAACCGACTGAATGGCGCGCATTCAAAAAAAGGAAGTTATGCTGCCTCACCCTGTGTATGTATATGTGTGTGTGTGTGTGTGTGTGTGTGTGTGTGTGTGTGTATATATATATATATATATATATATATATATATATAGCAATGAAGAGACTAAAGTAGTCGTGTTGTGTGTAGGCAAGGGTTGACTTTTAAAATGTTTTTACTTGAGGCACTTTTTAAAAGGAGGAACTCATTACCCCAACCAGAATCCTTTCTTTCAATATCTTCAGCTGTGTTCTTCTGAGGTAAAACTTCTTTTCAATAAATAGACATGAGTCTTAATTATAAAGAACTGATCAAGGAAATACTTATTTAAGGATTCACAGGTGTACAATGTTTGATGGTTATTCTGTATTCCTTTAAATGTTGTTACAGTTGACTTTAGTTAAACAGTTTCCAATATAACTCTCAGTATGGTTTTTACTTCCACCAGATTGGTTTTAAACTTATTTCACGGCAAAGTATCTTTCCTTTAACTGACAATTCAAGGCACTGGCTTGCCTTTTTCTCCCTTCAGCTATCCCCACTGAAGTTATGGATTCCTACTGGGGTTTCTTTCCCCCTTAGCTCACGAGCTAATTACTAATTTAAACAAGTCCAATTGACTCTGTAAACACACAGGCTGAAGACTTAAACCCCTGGGTTCAGTTTCTCTACACAGCAGAACCCAACTTCCACTTTTGTCCACTGACTAAAAGAAATCTGACTCTTTTAAAATGCCTGCCCCTGCCAAGTGGCAGTTAGCTCCGCCCCTTTGGCTTCTCTAACTTGGATACATTCTAACAGCTGGTTCCGTCGCTATGGCAACACCTCAGCTTAGGCGACACATAAGCTGGCCTGCACTTATATCATAACATTAATAAACATTTTAAGACATACATTGAGGCCCGTAGCCAGGATTTCGATTCGGGGGGGGAGGGGGGGGGCTGAGTTTCAGGGGGTTTTGGGGGGTTTGGGGGAGGCTGAGTCTCAGTGAAAGAGGGTCTAACCTAGCAAACCTTTTGTATCATTACCCCAATACCCCCATGCATATGGGATATATTGAGTATGGTGATCAGATCATGATATGAATAAACATAACAGTTTAAATAATGCACCAGTAAGGCCTTTTCGTGAATCACCATGAGAATTTCAGGGGGGGGGGGCTGAAGCCCCTCAAGCCCCCCCCCCCCCCCCGGCTACATGCCTGCATACATTATAATTAGCTATTTCATTACAATGGTTATACAGCCCGGAAAAACTCACAGCAACCCAGTGATTCTAGCCATGAAAGCCTTTGACAACACAGAAGATATCTACTTTATTAATTGGATTACTGTTATCTCTAACATAGATTTCCGATATCTACATCAAGGATGCTATTTGCCATTATCACTCAGATTTTATCAGAAGGAAAGTAGCACACTCAATTCCCTTGGTGTTTCCTCGCGATTCACTGTCATCCAACAACCATTCCATCAAGCAACAGAAGAGGAAGAGCCGGGAAGTAGCACAGCAATTTAATTACCTCTCCTGAGATCCTGGTAACTTTGTGCTCCTCTTCTTCAACTGTTCCTATGGAATTTCATTATTATAAAACCTTATAACTAAGAAGTAGTGGAATCTCCCCATATCTGTCACCCTCTCAGTGTTTTGTGTTTCAACTCCTACTATCTAGAAGGCCAAGAAACTGAGAAATTGTTGTCCAGAATCTCTTCTACGAAGCCTTGCATAGTGTCTTCTGTTTACTCTAGCACAACAGTTCATCAGAGAGTACCAGTGCCAGAATGCATTATCCTAATATAGGGAGAGGACTTGTGCGGTCGTCCTGATACTGCTGAACTATATCTCCAACAGCACTGCTACAGGATAGCCAATGGTGAGGAACACTAGGACTTGAGGTCCAACAGCATCTGGCAGTATCCACAATTCCCACCTCTGAGCTGGCATATTTCTAATTAAATCTATTAACAACATTGAAGGAATAAAATATAGATAGAAAATGTGGTGATCTTCACTAACCTCTTCTTTCTCTTAAAAGGGCAGGTCTAATCAAAGCCAATGTTCTTTCAACATCTGGGCCTTTCTTCGATTTAGCAAAATTAGGAAAAAAGAAGGCAAGTTGTCTACTTGCTTCCTCCACACTGTCCTGAATATCACATAAATTTGCTAACTCACGATTTTCCAAGGCTCCTTTCAAGCTAAAAAAAATAAAAAAATAAAATCATACTAATATTTAATTATTAGTAAAATAGTAAAATGAAATAAAATAGATGTGAGTGTCAAGCAATTAATTTTTTACCAACCAGGGACATCATTTCAGAGGCAAAGAAGATGTACTATAAACTCTACTTCATGAGGAATCTATTGCTTAAATAAGACAAGGAAACTTAAAAATAATAATACATTATATGTAAACAACAATAATAACCTGTATCTGCAAAAATCTACTTGCTAATTTGCTCCAATTTTAGTCAAATAATTTTCTCTTGCAGATTTCTAAAAACAGGTGCTAAGAGGGAACAGAGGTTAGAAAATGCAATTGTTAAGGCTATAAATCCCAGAATTCCTCAGAGTTTCTGGAAGTTGTGTTCTAAAAAGAAAAGGGTACTGTTCCATTATCTGGGTGGAGGCCATTAGGGGGTGCAGGAGAGAGAAGAATAGTCCATTTTATGGGGGGGAGGGGAGTTGAAGGAGGAAAACAATTTTCCCCATTTTTGCTGGTTATCCCCCCCCCCCCCCCCCCCCCCCACTTCTCATTTCATAAACAAGAGTTGCTTCCACGACAGGGACATAGGTGGAGGGAATAACAGGAAACTGGGGGAAATTGCTTTCCTTCTTCAACCCACCCTCAACCCCATAAAATGGACTATCCTTCTCTCTCTAGTGCCTCCTAGTGGCCCCCACCCAGATACTGGGACAGTACCAAGAAAAGAAAAATTATTTCCAAGCTGCGGGGAGGGGGGTCACAAAAACTAAGGCTGGAACTACACTGCTCTATATCCCAGTATCTGATCCCAGATTATCTGTTTATCTCAGATGATCTGGCAGTGTAGATTCATATAATCTAATACAAAGCAGATAATCCTGGGTCAGATCCTGGGATATAACACAGTATAGATCCAGCCTAAGATGACTAATATCCCTATGGTCTTCCATAAATCCATTCAGTCATTGAATGGGAAATGAGGACTTCATCACACAGATTGCTGCAAACATCACAGAACAGCTGATTTGTTGAGCCCCACACCACCCATCACATGATGCATGACCACTTCCGGTGGGGCTTCATAGCACAACTGTGGTACAAGCGTCCTACGATGGCACACCCAGAACACGAGAGGCTTCCTATGTTCCATAAGGAGCATCGGAGCCAGACCAAGGGGAAGCCACGCACTGATGCTTCCCCATATGTGATGGGGAAGCGTTGCTGAGGGTGAGGCAGGGTGCGAGGTACTGGGATTGCCCTGCTGTCCTGCTGATTCTCCATGAAGGCTGGCAAATCACAATGCTGGGGCTCATCAATCTGAATATATAGAGCTTACTAGTCATTCTTAGAAGTGGGAAAAGACAGTAAAAGATGATCAACTTTCATCTACTTTTAATTGCTTTTAATTTCTTTCAGGCTGCAAAAGCACCACTGTGTGCTCAACCATGAGTTAAGTATAAGCTCAGAAAGCACTCTAAAACTGGGTTTTGTGGCCCCAGTTTAGATTAAAACAATAATGTTCCAGCAAGGGTGGTCAAACTCCTCTTAGCCAGCATAGCTGTTATTTAAGAGTTCACCTTCATCATCCTGGCTTCATGAAGAAAGGGCTGGGGGTGTCATTGATGCCAATGAAGGGGGTTTTCACTTTTCAAAATCCCATTTTTTTCTAAAAAGGGGGCAACATTTAAAGAGAAAACCAGATAATAGAAGGTTTAAACTTCCCCATCTAACAGAACTGTTCTTCTACTAATCTGAATTTGATCCTGTATTTTCCTTTTAGGAACAGGCTGTATCTTTTACTGTGAGCTACATATTGAATTTGGCACAATATTAGCTGAAGTGAGATCCCACTAAAATTGATGTGTGAAGTTAAACATGCCCCCAATGCACCCTATTGAGTGCATTGGAAGCAAAGTAGAAGAAACATATGGTTGAACTGAAATAATTAGAATTAGAGTATGCCCATTACAACTCATGGAATTTAAAAATTATAAATAACTAATGTTTCACAGGTTTGCTGCAGGCGGACCTAGACACAAGGAAACACACACACACACTGAGAATTAACATATTTCCCTTCAAAGTAAGGACCGCACAATGAAACCAGGAACAGAATTGTTGACATTCTTCTTCTTCTTCTATTATTATTATTATTATTATTATTATTATTATTATTATTATTATTATTATTGTCATTCTTATTATTATAATATTTTTCTCATTATTATTGGCATTCTTATTATAATATTTTCTCATTATTATTATTAATTATTGCCATTCTTATAATATTTTTCTCATTATTATTTTCATTCTTAGAATATTTTCTCATTATTATTATTGCCATTATTTCTATTATAATATTTTTTCATTATTATTATTATTCTCACTAATATTATTGTTGACCGCTTTGAGTCCCGACTCAGGAGAAAAGTGGGATAAAAACAAACAAACAAACATGCACACAAAGCTGCAATTTACCCTGTTGGTTTTTCATGTCTTTTCTGCATTCTAGGTATAGCTTCTTCACCCTCTTGCATTTCCCACTCTTCTTCTTCTTCCTCCTCCTCCTCTTCTTCCTCTTCTTCTTCCTCTTCCTCTTCTTCACCCTCTTCTTCTAATGTTTGTAAATAAGGCATAACATACTGTGCTTGCTTTCCTTCAGATACTATCAGAATATGGCTTGGTGCAGACAGCATAAATGCAATGAAGTCTTCAAAATCAGGCTGAAAAAAGACAATTACAATTAATGTACCATTAAATAGACAGCCATTAAATACTAGATCTCATTGTCCTTTGATTTAGTGAAACACTTGTCCTTATTTCGCAAAAACAAACAAACAAACAAATGTTGCACGATACATCATTCCAACTAGCAGGCCATTTTCCAGTAACTCCATTTGAGAAAACTGAGTAATATAAGTTGAGATTTTAATGTAACAAACATATACAAATTCACATACGGTCTTCTTCATTCATTCTGTTACTAATGTACTTATCTCAAAAATTCAGGCATGTAGAATATGCTGTTAAGACACCTCCCTTCAGTCTTAGGCCCCTTCTACATTGCCATATAATTCAGATAGATAGATAGATAGATAGATAGATAGATAGATAGATAGATAGATAGATAGATAGATAGATAGATAGATAGATAGATAGATAGAAGGGTTGAATGAAAAGTAGTACCTCCACCTTCATTACTTGGGTTTGGATGGGAATTTTAATAAATAAAATGTAGAAATAATCCTTAGAATGTGCTCTTTAAACTACCACTATTCACTTTTCCACACAATCACCAGACAATTGGATACATTTCTGCCAACGATGAACATGTTTTCTGAAGCCATCATGGAAGAAGTCGACAATATTTCCGCAACCAGCGTCTCACAGTTCTCTCATCCTGGATACCCATCATGCACAGATCTTTCAATAGCCAAGCAAAGCAATAATGTGACCCACATATTCTTGTGAAATGCCGATTATGCTTGAAATTTCTCTCTGAGTGATACGATGATCATCCTGAATCAATCTGTCAACCTTTTGCTGGTGAAACTCGGTGGTTGCTGTCACAGGACGTCCGACTTTTAGGTTGTCACGAAAGTCAGATGTTCCCACTTCAACTTCTTCAAACTTACTCACCCAACGATGCACAGTACTCACATCAACACAATCACCATAAACAGCTTGCATTCCCTGATGAATCTCCTTTGGGGCAACACCTTCTGCTGTCAAGAATTCAATGACTGCATGTTGTTTAAGTCGCATTGACTGACCGTCTGCGCAGGGTTCCATACTTTGCACTTTAACAACACAACCGTTCAATGCTAAGGCTTCCCGCCAAAATGGAACTGTAGAGGAGAGTCTACTGAACCAGCCAGGCCTGCCACATACCTGTACTGCCATCTGTTGAGAAGTTACGAAGGTGGAGGTATTACTTTCCATTCAACTCTCGTAGATAGACACACATAAACATACTTTGGATAGTAAACGAAAGGGTTAGCATCTCTGTGGTGTTTGTTTTGTTATCAGTGCTCCTATTCAGAAGGTTTCACCTCACTTTCTGTACTTGTGAGAATTGGATTTTCAAAAATGTGTCTTCTTGTGGAAACGAGTGGTGATAACGTTTCACCATGATAACTCTTCCAGGAGTGAATTTCCCTTCCTAGGGGTAGATTTCTCTCACTTACTGTTGTCTCACCTCCGTTCTTAACTATGAGTCATTTGTAAGTTGGATGTTTGTAACTTGGGAACTTTCCAGCAACTGCTTGAGATCCCTGGGAGTGTCCATTGGAGATCCCTGGGAGTGTCTTCTGACTCCTGCAGTCAAACCTCTCATTTCAAAATGGCAACCAGAACCAGCCATTGTTAACTTCTTTGATTCAAGACCTTACTTTCCCAACTGGGAAACCCGTGGACTACAAAGCTTTTTACCTGTCAGGTAAAAAGCTTGCCTTTTAAAACTTCATCAGCTTCTTTAGACCTTTAGAACTTGCCAATTTCAGGGACTTTCTATTTCTTTTGATGGGTTAACACTTTTACACTTTCTATCTCACTTTCACTAGCTGTGATAAAAAGTCTCTTTAATGTTCCCTTGTCTCTTTGACCAGAGCCTCACTGGGGAATAGACATTTGGTTTGAATTATTTTTATTGATCTCTAAACCCATGACATGCTGTGTAGCAGTCAGTGAATTGGTCTCATTTGCATCTGAAGCATTTTGCCTTTGCCTTTTCTCTAGAGTAGGAGCACTCTGTCCTTTATTCTTCTGCTCTTCTGCTTTTTCTTTTTAAGCATCACTTCCATGTCTAATGTTTAATTAACTGAAACTGTTGTGAACTAACAATGAGAGCAGGAATAGGACCAGCTGAAAAGGCAGAAAAGAAAAACGGATGGAAAGAGGGATCAAAAGTTGTATCCAAAAAAGGATTTGGACTTCTTTTGACTCACTGGTACATGGAGAAGATTGTCTAGATTGTTCATCCTTTTTCAATTTTCTTCCCAAACTTGTTTTCGGCCTACAACTCCAGAAATCCCAGCCAGTTTACCAGCTGTTAGGATTTCTGGGAGTTGAAGGCCAAAAACATCTGGGTACCCCAGGTTGAGAAGCACTGGTCTAGATAGTTCATCCTTTTTCAATTTCCTTCCCAAACTTGTTTTTCTTTCCTTCTAAAGTACTTTATGTCAGGCAGGTTCCAAACCCAGTTTCATGATACTACAGTTCACATAGCATTTCTGTTTCTTTGCTTCTGCAGTGTATTCAATTCTACTCTCACACCACCACCTCCAGTTTCCAAGCAGCCCTACAACAACTGGGTTTTGGGGGCTGAAATTCTGGTATCTAGCCAACCCAGTCCCAGGCATGTAGTCGGGGGGAGGGGGGGGGGCTGAGGGGCTTCAGCCCCCCCCCCGAAATTCTCATGGTGGTTCGCGAAAAGGCCTTACTGGTGCATTATTTAAACTGTTATGTTTATTCATATCATGATCTGATCACTATACTCAATATATACCATATGCATGAGGGTATTGGGGTAATGATACAAAAGGTTTGCTAGGCTAGACCCTCTTTCACTCAGACTCAGCCCCCCCCCCCCAAACTCAGCCCCCCCCGAAACCCCCTGAAAAAAATCCCCCCCCCCCCTGAATCGAAATCCTGGCTACGGGCCTGCCCAGTCCCCTTCTATATTGCCATATAATCCAGTTCAAAGCAGATAACCTAGATTTTGTATGGCAGTTGAGGCTGTAGCCAAGGGCAGGGTAGGGGTTCGGGGTTCAATACCCCACCCCCAAATTTTTCAGGTTAAAAAACCCTGGTTTACTTATGAATTTTAACTGGGTTACCAAACCCCCTGCTAAGTCTATGAATAGCAAAAATTAAACAAGTCCCTCCAGAACTGCAAGCACTATCTCAAGCAAATGTTGACAATCTATTCACAGTCATTACTTGCAGCAATAACTGATATAGTGGAAGCCAGGCATGTAGCCGGGGGGGGGGGGGCTTCAGGGGCTTCAGCCCCCCCCCGAAATTCTCATGGTGGTTCGCGAAAAGGCCTTACTGGTGCATTATTTAAACTGTTATGTTTATTCATATCATGATCTGATCACCATACTCAATATATCCCATATGCATGGGGGTATTGGGGTAACGATACAAAAGGTTTGCTAGGGTAGACCCTCTTTCACTTAGACTCAGCCCCCCCCCCAAACAAACTCAGCCCCCCCCCCGAATCGAAATCCTGGCTACGGGCCTGGTGGAAGCACAAATTTGCCCACCCATAACTGGTAGGCAAAGCCTAAGGCAAGGGAGGGATTTGAAGCCCCCCACGAAGGAGACGAGGAGATTGATTTAATTAAGTCTATATAAAATACAGAATGAATCATACTATTTAAGTTATTTTGTGTTATGGAACTACTTTTCATGATTCACTAAAAAAAAAAAATTGAAACCCCTCCCGAAACCTTTTTCTGGCTATGGTCCTGATGGCAGTGTAGATGGGGCCCCAGTTGAGTCATTGCTGACATTTAATCCATGATTTATCTAAAATTTGAGAAATATCTTTCCAAGTACACGTATAAAAATAAGATGCTGATTTTTTTTAAAAAAATAAACCAATGTGAGTTCTTACTTGAGAAAACATAGAATCTAACATTACATTAGCCAGTATGTTTTCACCCTATGTATTAACAAGCTCTATCAGGAGAGATTACACTTCAGTCACAAGCCTAGAATTTTGGAATGTTTTGGTTTTTGACTCCTCCATTTAAACAGATCAAATAGCAAATTATGGAAAAGTCTTTGTCTGAAAGTCTGAAGAACTGTTGTTATTTAGTGTTGGCCACACCGGACTAGATTAACAAATAACCAGACCTGTTACAACTGTAGTGTAGTGGACTCAGGGCTCACGGGACTTTTTAAAAATTAGTGTACTTTGGCCCCTTCCACACAGCTATATAAAATCCAGATTGAACTGGATTATATGGCATTTTGGACTCAGATAACCCAGTTCTAAGCAGATATTATGGATCAACTGCCTTGACATTCTAAGTTATATGGCTGTGTGGAAGTGCCCATAGTGGTATCATCTGGCACTTTCTCAGTCTTTGGGGTCGAAAGGAATAATGTATTTTTTTATGAGCTAGCCTGATTGCAACGCCAACTACTCAAGGGTGGCTTGTTCTTGAAGAACCATGCAAGACCCATTGATTTTACAAAAACTCTACTTCTGATGGAATAAAAATGAACTACGTTTTTTGATATGGTTCAACATTGTCCAAATATTTACATTGGCAGCAGTTCTATGGAGAGTTATCATTATTACCTGCACTTTAAAATTAACCATGAAAACATGGTATACGGCAGTTTCCTGTGTTGCTGTATCTCTATTTCTGATTTTCAGAACACTAATGGGAATACAGCAATATATATATATAGAGAGAGAGAGAGAGTGAGAGAGAGAGAGGGAGTATACTTTTATACCGCCTTTCTCAGTCTTATCGGCGACTCAAGGCGGATTACAACAAGTCAGTACATATAACAACAAAAAACAAATTAAACATTAAAACAGTATAAAACCACAATAGAAGCAATAAAAACAATAAAACATCATTATCATCAGTGTCTCCTAGTTAAATAACGTTGTCCAAGTATTTTTGAAACCATCCTTGCCATCCCAATATCCTCTTCCTTCCCTTTCACTTGGGTCATCTGTCCCATGGAAGATGGTTGAATGAAGGAAATTCTGCTTTCTGAATTTTCAAAGATTAATAGTGTGTTTCCAACTTATTAATAATATAACAAAGCTAGCCTACAGAACATTTTCATTCATAATAGAAGAAAGCTAAAGATGCTTCATTTGATGTCTCTTCTGGAATTTAAATCTGATTTTTGAGCAGCAATGTGATGAGACTATTAGGTAGACAGAGTTATAAATGGAAGAATATCATCCATGTGGGAGGAACTGGAGGACAGAGATCTTATGGCACAACCCCTTCTTTGGAACAACAGCAGGAAAACAGAAATATTACATGGACATTACATGGGAGAGTTTGTATTACTTAGAAGGAATTCACTACAGGAAGATGGATTTCTGCCCCTCCAACCACTAGATAATACTATACAATTTCCTTTTACATTTTTAACTAGATCATAACCCAAAATTTATCTTCATTTTTGCTTATATAAAATATAATGTTTCTCTTTATTTCTGTTTTTAGCTTCACTCAAATTCAGGGATGTCTCTTTTCTGTCTGGTGGAGAGAGTCAGTGTTCACCACTGCTTCTTCTTCCTAGGTGTAACCTGATACCTCTGATGCCTAGAAGGATCTGATTTATTCAGTCTTCAATCTTGATTTAGAGATTAGTGACTTCATCTGATGGGCCATCAGAATCACCATGCATCATGATGAATCTGGTGGTGCCTGGTGGGGGGCTGGGGGAACCCATCGCCCCACTCCCCGCACTGACCAGCTTCTCCCCACCTCATTCCACAGGAGGAAGCATCCACCAACCTGCTTCCCTCTATTGATTCAAATGTAGCATGGGAAGCCTCCTGTGTTGCCACAGTGGTGGCATATGCTGGATCTTAGTTTTATGACAGAGCCCCATCAGAAGTAGTTCATCATCGTGGGATGAGAACCAGAGGACTCTGTTATAAAACTGTAGAAGATTTGGCACATGCTGCCAAAAATAACCTTGTCTGATGAGGTCATAGGTCTAAACTGCAAGAGATCCCATAGCCACAAACTTGATATTTTTTAATTTTTTTGTTTCATTCTTTTTATTTTTTAGTCCCTTTTTGTAGTACCTAGTCCTGAAATGGCTAACTGCAGCAAGGCCCACTTTCATCTTCACATATCATATCACATTTTTGCCAGAAAATAAATCCTGTATGAGACATAGATATGACCAGAAATCTGTTCTAGTTTGCACCTGGGAGTTAATTTTGGTGCATTTTGGGATTTGAAGAGGGATTGGAGTAACAAAGCTAATGAAAGGAAAACCCCATATGTGTCTTGAAGCATTTGGTACTTTTTCACTAATTAAAGGTGTTTGTTCAAGGAATTTTGAAGGCACAAAAAAGAAAGGGGGTTGTGATATGTATCTCAGGGGCTGCATATACCTCACTCCTGATATAGCTTGAGTGATATTTCTTCTGACATCAAAATTTGAAAAAAAAAATTGAGGGGCATTTTGATTGGTAGAAATCAAAATATTGCTCATCCATGCACTTTGAGCCCACTCCACCTTTTTGATGAATAGACCGGTAATGGGTGATATTAAAGAATATGCTGCAAAATGTTGGCTAAAATACTTAGGAAGCTTTCATAAGCAAAGGTATTCCCTGAAATAATACACAGGCAACCAATGGTTCCCCAGATGTTACAGCATTTCAAAACCCAGTATCCCAGCCATCATAGCCTGCTATGATGAGAGTTGAAGTCTCAGATCTAGTGAGGCACAAGTTTATCACACTACCTGGAATATTCATTATAAAATGCCCAATTCATATAAATGGCAATCCATGTTACCTCTTCCGATTTGCTTTGATAAAAGTCCCTAATTTGTTCCTCAGTTAATATCTTCTCCTCTTCTGCCAGGATATTAAAGCCAGCTCCCACAATCTTCAGTTGTAGATTAGCCATCACATTTTGTAGAAGAAAAGAATAGGTTATCAGGCTATGGTTTAACTATATTCAAGCTGTCACATATATTTAAAAATATTCAATTAATTGACTATCTGTTTTGAACTATGAATCAATCAATACATTTAAATTAAATAAAAGGAATGCATACATCTCACTTTAAAGAAACAAAACAACATAATAGCAACAAACATCCGTAAAGCACCTTTAAAACCAATATTTGCTTACTGCATATGTCTCTCTTGACTACTTCAATAGATGCACAAAGTCATCTTGTGAAGATTATCTGATAATACAAGGTTTTCCAAAGAGTTTTGCTTACTGTTTCTTTAATTTCGTCAACTTTTTCGAGAGCAACTGCATCAGGCTTTATAATAACAACAGTGTATTTTTCCTCCTCTGAAAGAAAATGATAGAATATGTAGAATTATGTATACAATTGCACAAGATTAAGTAACTTTCCAGATTGTTTAAATATAAACCTCTCTTTTAATACTAGCCTGCTTGCTACAGTAAGACAGGATAAGCACATATAATATCTATGCTTGGGTACACTTAATGCAATTATTTTTCCCACTAAATGTGGTATTACATATATCATTAATCAGTTAATCTGTCTGTCTATCTATCTATCTATCTATCTATCTATCTATCTATCTATCTATCTATCTATCTATCTAGGTAATATAATATAAAATGCAAATGCTTGATAAAATGCTTTTTGACTAGATACCATGGGTTCTAGTCAATACCACATAACCATCAGAAACCCATAATATCTAGTCAAGTTCAAAATAGTTTATTGTACGGGCCCAAGGCCATGACAAAAAGCACCACACACACACACAACAGTACCCTCAGAGTACAGGCACCAAAGATACTAAACAGAACCATATCTAGTCAAAACCTTGCTTCTATGACTGCTTTTATATTGGTCTGAACTTTTAAGAAGAGTTATTATAATGACATGGGACTAGAACATCTTCTTACAATTATTCTGTTATGGATGGCTTCAATATTAGCCAATTTGAGTCTCATTAAAAAAAAAGAAGGTGGGATAGAAGAATAAGTTGTTGTTTATTATTTATTTCTAGTATTTTTTGGGCCTGGGATTGCTGCCCTTTCATGATGGGGTTGCACTTCCTCTGAAATATCAGGTCCATAGCTTGAGGATAGAACAGAGAATAGGATGCAAATGGATGACTTCTACCAACAAAACAGAAGAATCCAGCAGAACCAGGAGAGAATGATCTCCCTTCTACACTACAGACCCAATATATCCCCAAATCTCTATCCAGAGGTTAGGAAGCCATCTGGAATAAGTTCACAAGCTACACAGATGGTCTGCAGTGGAAAGGGAGGGAGAAAACAGATTTATTACTACTGCCAGCACCACTTTGGATTTTGCAAGGATAAAATAGAGGGGACATATGGTGCTGCTGTAGATCCTTGGTCGATTAGAGTGGTATATCAGCAGATGGTAGATCACCAACAAATTTTAGGTGCTGTAGACGATATTTCAAAGGAAGCAATGGTCAAACCCCCACTTCTCAGTGTTCCTTGCAAAAATTTTGAGGTTGCCATGAGGCAACTTGAAACTAAATACACATCAAAGCAACACCATATTGCTGAATTAGAAACTAGAAATAGGAAATTGAGATATCAGTGCACTCAGGTATCAGTCACAAAAACTTTTTTTATACTAATCAAATGATGATTGAAAATAATTATTTGGGAGCAAGGCTGTCAGTAATTCAGATGTACCATACTCCTGATTTCCTTAAAATCTTGGTATCAAAACCAGAAAAGTAACACCACATGACCATCAGAAATCCGTACATGAAGAAGGAGAGAATTATAATTTTATTTTCTGATCAGCAAGGTAACACTATACTTCCTACTCTTTTTTTAAAAGTCCAGATACAGCTAATAATAATAATAATAATAATAATAATAATAATAATAATGTACAGAACAAAATAACTTTATTGGTTGGTTGAATACAGTGATTATCTTTCTCAGATATACAAATGATGCAGCAGCAATCATTTGTATTGCTACATCATTTATATGGCTGAGAAAGATAATAATATTATATTCAACCAACCAATAAAGTTATTTTTTTAGGACATCTCCCATCCACCAGTTCTTCAGAAATAGGCTTAGAATAATGAACCTTTGAATACATCTCCCCCCTGAGATTGGATGAGGAAATTCACTGGTCCTGTGGGTTACCAAAGATCTCTATTTTGCAAACTTTGCAATGTGCTTGGTATAAAGAGAAATTTTTAGTTCCCCCCTGAGAGTATACATTTATTTTATTTCAACATTTCCTCCACTGCATGTCCTAGTGTCAGGCTAATTTAGGGAATAGCTGGACTTCTCTATCTTCCCAAGTTATACTGTAATTTTCATCTCTCTGTTATTCAGCACCTGAAGCAGCCCTGAATCCATCGAACAGTAGGACTAGCCATGTGGAAAAGCAGTGGGATCAAGTTTTTTTTTACTTATCTTTCCCATCTTCAAATAGTCAGGTATCTCTTAGTTTAATTTTAACCTAAAATTGATTGTATATAATAATCCCTCAGAAACACTTGCCAACAACTTCTTCTTCTTCGGGTTCTTCCTCAATTTCTTTTTCTTCTATTATTACAAGCTCTTGCACCTAAAAAAAGTTTTAATGGTTAAATTTCATATCGATATCAATAAGTTGCACGAGAAGATCGCAGGGCCCTTCCAGACAGGCCCTATATCCCAGTATCCGATCCCAGGTTTTGTGTTTTAAACTGGAATATATGAGTACTCACTGCCAGATAATTTAGGATAAACAGAAAACCTGGGATCAGATCCTGGAATATAGGGCCTCTCCGGAAGGACCCTTTGTCACCACTGCTACCAAAATTCTATCTAATTGTTGCAACAGAAGAAGAGGAGCAAGGTCCCTCAGCACTCTTACTTTTCTCCTCCTTTCACTGTAAATCAGAAACATTCTATCTAAGCTATAGAAGTAGAAGAGATGGAAAGTAGTAGTGTCATTTACATCTTTAACAAAAAAAATGGTACTAAAAGCAGAAACAACAATGAATAAAGAGGAACAGGTTCCTTCCCATATAAAAAAGAGCAGCAGTTCAACACGTATCAACAAACCTTTAATTCAAAACTTACAATATGCTCATAGGAATTTTAAGAGTCTATTCAGATAAGCCATAAGTAACGAAAAATATTTTGAACTTTCTAGAGGCCACTTGAAGGTTTCTTTTAAAACACATCCTTTCCTCTATGTTTGCTGTTCACACATGCTCAGTAAAAGATTGTGGAGGGAGACTGTTGTTATTTACCTTACCTGCTGTAAGCAGATACACACAACTATGGTAGGATCGGCTGGAACAGAATCTCATTCTTCGCATCTCCTTCTATGAACCAGCATGAACTCTAAGATCTTCCGGGGAGACCCTCCACTCGGTCCCACCTCCGTCACAAGCACGGTTGGTGGGGACGAGAGAGAGGGCCTTCTCGGTGGTGGCCTCCCACCTCTGGAATGCCCTTCCAAGGGAAATAAGACAGATCCCATCCCTCCTCTGCTTTTGTAAGAACTTGAAGACCTGGTGGTTTCAACAAGCCTTTGAAAATGACCAATTCTAACTCAGTCTTACACATTGTCAAATGTGGCCTTATTCTTCCTACCAATTACCCAGATCGCTTCCTCTAATCGGCCCCGGAATGAACAGCCACAGACCATATCTAATATTATTGTTGCCTGCCATAGCATTGCACTTAATTCCCAGGCCCCCTAGAATTTTTGGGCTTGCACAAATCTTTTAATTTTTTAAATTGCCTTGAACAGGCAGGATTACTTTTAATATATTGTGTTATGGCAACAATTTTTAGTCTTATATTGTTTTGTTAATCTTATGGTTATGTCGTTTTCTTTGTATGTTTTGTGATGTTACCTGGAAACCACTCTGAGTCCCCTCAGGGAGATAAAGCAGTATATAAATAAAGTTTTATTAATAATAATAATAATAATTATTATTATTATTATTATTATTCTTTCCCAGCTCAGGTTATATTGCATGTTAACGGCAGACATACTACTGCAGTTTAAGATGATCAACTGTGTTTCCCCAGTTCTACTTCATCATAATCCCAATGCTAGTACTACTAACAAAAACTTGCATCTACACAGAGGACAAGATCAGAGTGGACGTAAAAGGGAGATCAGAGTGGATATAAAAAGACTGTAAAAGAAGAACTTGTACAAGTCAGGAGATCAGTGATTTTCTGAAACAACTGGAGAACACACTTTGGAGAATGCCAAACTATCACACAATTGGCTTTCTTCCTTCTACTTTTCCCATTTGTTTTCTCTCCTGTTTGCTAGGGAGAGGGATACAGAGTCTGTCTTATGATTGATCTTCATCAGCTGCCTTGGGGGTAGGTAAAATGCTTTTAATAACTATATTAGGTGAGCATATGGCTGATATTGATCGGCTGCAGCATGGGAGAGAGGAGAGTTGGATCAGGATAGCAAGTCTGAGGGGAATGGATTAATCCCCTTCCTACCATTGTGGCGTTTCTCCAAGCTAAATCCTAGCTATGGAAAAAGCATATTTTATCATAGCTTTTCCTCAAAATGCAAACAATAACTCCTTTGAGGTAATACAAAATGGCGAAAGGGTTAATCTTCCCACACTCGGTCCTTCAGATGTAATTAAAGACTCCAAATACATTCCATTTCGTATTTGTTTTAAAAAGTTGAGAGATCGTGCCTTTCCCATATCACATCTGCTTCAGTCCTTTAATCTCCTCTGAAATTGACTGTTCTGCAAAGCTCTATTCATCTGCTTGCCTAAAAGTCTCATTGAACTCTGTGGGATACATATCTCAATAGACATCACGAGAACCTGCTGTTAGGCATGTAAAGGGCCTTCATTGAACACTGTGCTTAAGGCTATGCTCACCTAGAAGTAGGCTCCACTGAACATGAACATGTGCCTCGAATTGGCTATATATCCCACAGTGTTCAGAAAAAAATAATTTTTTAATGTTATCACAATTTTGCTGATTAAAAGTAACCATCAAAACTACAACCTGCTGTAGTTTCATGGAGAAATCAGATAAATTTGTGTATACAAGTTGCTTTGGATCATAACTGATTTGTATATACAAATAAGCAACATGTTTATTATACCTTCTGGCCAAGCGGAGCCCTTCCACTTCATGCCACGCACCACAAAAATACCACATTTTTCTGGGAAATAAGTCAAATGCTGCCCATATGTCATATTTCCAGTAGAACCAATGGGATTTTGGGAACAGCAAATCATGGTGGGATTGTTTTTTTAGTGATACTAGAAAGTGCATCATTGGGCCCTTCCACACAGCCATATAACCCAGAATATCAAGGCAGATAATCCACAATATCTGTTTTGAATTGGGTTATCTGAGTCCACACTGCCATATAACCCAGTTCAAAGCAGACTTATGTGGGATTTTTATACAGCTGTGTGGAAAGGGCCTATGATACGCATCCAGTGGGGCAAGATGTAGTCAACTTCTTAATTAAGAATTCTCCCTTTAATAATAATAATAATAATAATAATAATAATAATAATAACTTTATTTATATACCGCTCTATCTCCTCTCGTGAGATTCAGGTCAGTTTCCAAGTAACATCACCGAAACATACAAAGTAAACAGCATAACAAAAAATTAACAAAACAACATAAGCATAAAATTATCACAGTAACACATGTATATTAAAAATAATCCTGTCTATTGAGAGCATTTAAAAAGCTGGGCCAAGGCTATTGGAAACTCAAAATATGAGGGGGCCAGGAATTAAGTACAGTACTATAACAGGCTAACGGCAATAGCAGGTACGGGTCTGTGGCTGCTCATTTCCAGGGCCTATTAGCACAATGAAATGGGAGAGGGGAGCTCTGAGTCAATTGCACCTATGTGAAGGCTCATCTGCATGGGCAACATACACTGATGTTGATCCAAAGTAGGGTACTCCAAATCAGCACCATTGGAGTCTGCACTGTGCAGCATTGAGTCAGATGGGCAGCTGGAGTCCACATAACCCAGTGATGCCAGACTTGGTTCAGCACCACACAGTTGCTGACTCTTACCTCAGCCTCATCTGAGCCAAATGAGTCTGGGAGAGGGTGAATGGACTCCACAACTTTTTTTAACATGGGAGAAGGTCGAGTTAAGTGTTCTCATCCCCCATTAGGGCAAATGGGTCCCATGTGTCATGTGGATGTCATAGAGCAGTGGTTCTCAACCTGGGATCCCCAGATGTTTTTGGCTTTCAACTCCTAGAAATCCTAACAGCTGGTAAACTGGTTGGGATTTCTGGGAATTGTAGGCCAAAAACATCTGGGGACCCCAGGTTGAGAACCACTGTCATAGAGTCAATTTACATCCTCCCCAATTTTTTATTTTTTATTTTGCTCAAGTAGCTGGGCCCTGAGTCTCAATCACTTTCAAGGTGATCTGTGAAACAGAGATGCTCTGAGTTCATAGAATCAGAATCATAGAGTTGGAAGCGACCTCAAGGGCCATCCAGTTCAGAGAGAGGTCAACCCTCCTGTTTAAGGAGCTCCGTTGGCTGCCATTCATTTTCCGGTCCCAATTCAAGGTGCAGGTGCTTACCTTCAAAGCCCTAAACGGTTTGGGACCTGTCTACCTACATGACCGCATCTCCGTATATGAACCCACACGATCCCTCCAATCATCTGGAGAGCCCCTGCTCACGATCCCACCTGCATTGTAAGCACGTTTGGTGGGGACGAGGGACAGGGCCTTCTCTGTGGTAGCCCCCCGACTCTGGAACTCTCTCCCCAAGGACATCAGACAAGCCCCAACGTTGGCAGTCTTTAGGAAGAGTTTGAAGACCTGGCTGTTCCAGTGTGCCTTTCCAGAATAGGAAACTCCTAGCATCATGTCCCAAATGCACTTTATTAGAGATTTAAGATTGTCTGCACATCGCACCTACCTCTAAAAACCTTTACATTTCACCTGTCATGTCCAGCACTTTTAAATTTTATTCATTACATTTGGCCCGACCTTTAGTTTTAAATGCGTCATGGTGTTATTGCTTTAATGCTTATTGTTTTGCTTTATGAGTTTTATTGTTGTATTTGTTATGCTGTTGTTTTGAGGGCCTTGGCCTTTGTAAGCTGCACCGAGTCCTTCGGGAGATGTTAGCGGGGTATAAATAAAGTTAATAAATAAATAATAATAAATAACTCCCTGCTAAGAAGCAGGAAATTTGCATTCAAAGCTATATGAGTTTATTTATTTATGTATTTATTTATGATATTTCTTTCTCAAACCCAAAGGTGAATTAAGGCGGCTTACAAACAGGCAGCCATTCGATGACTAGCAATATACACATTAGAATGACATCTAAACAGAATTAAAATACATTCAATAAAACCTCTAAAACATATAAAACAAATGACTTCATTGTTAATTTCATTGTCCAAAAATCATTGTCTGCGCTGTTCCAGTGTTCAAGTTCGTCTAATTCCATGTTTGATTATTGCATTAGATTCCGGGTTCACGTCCTATGGGCCATACTTAAGGATTTTGGAGGGGTTGGAATGACTGTTTTTGGACTATTTCACACACAACTCAGTATGAAACAAATTATAAATACTGTACATACTATCACTCTGTTTCAGCCAAATCATGAAAGAAACCAGCAGCACAAAACAGCACAACAGCTTAAACCCAATGACTGGATAAAGCTTTCAGTATTTTAATTTTAAAAAGCTATACTGAAACATGGCTTTGTTACCTCTGGCCTGGATATTTCTCCTGCTACAATTTTTCTTTCTTGTTCTATGATCTCTATAACTCTTCTGTTTAGAAGAGGCCCATTGGCACCTTTCACCAGATCTATCATCATGCCATTCTGTTAAAACAACAACAACACTCAGGAACATGCGTCATTTATGTTAAATCTAATTTGGGTAATATTATCTCTTCCAAATTTAGATACATTATTGTACATGTTTTATTATCCTCTAGCAATCTATCCTATATACTCATGCATACCGTACATCTAAAAATGTAATAAAAAAGAACCCCCATCTCCAATGGTTCAATTTAGTACAGTTTAATGTGGATCAAAAATGAACCATCCCCTTCTCTGAGTAGAATAGTGAAAGACAAAAGCTTAGTGCATCACAGGAGAACCTAAAACAAGTAACATCCCACTTATACCATCTCCACTGTGGTGATGGATCTGATATTTTTAATGGTATTCAGGGATGGATGCTCCCCAGGGATGGATGCTACCCTTTTCAAATACAAATTTTGATAAATTGGTTAGAAGTATGACAATCACATTATACAAGATGTACTGTTGGCCATACTAACTGGGACTAATAACAGTTCTAGTTCAAAACATGCTGGGTTTCCCATCTCTTCCGAATTAAATGATACAGTTTTATATTCAAATATAGAAAAGACCACTAAACAAGTAATTGTTTGTTTGAAAACTTATAAGTTTTAGACCACTCGTATATAGTAGATGATATAAAACTTCCAGCCTGATAGCTGAGGTTTGTAGGAAGTGCAGTTCCTTTTCCCCCTGATAATTTTTTGTTGTTTATATGAAAAAAGAGAAGAAAAGGGGGGGGGGGGGGAAAGTAAGAAAAAAGTAATGCAGTTCCTCAAACAGAGCAGATATCCAGAGAGTGCCCTGGTTGTGGAAACTGAAAATCAGTGTTGCAAAAATATATTGATATGAGTAAATACTATTAGGGGGGTGCAACTGCAGTCAAACGTTTTAAATCAGGGGTCCCCAAACTAAGGCCCAGTGGCCGGATATGGTCCTACTCAGCCCTCACTCAGGGTCAACCTAAGTCTGAAACGACTTGAAGGCACACCACAAAAACAACAATCCTATCTCATCACCTATTGAAATTCTGTTAGAAATGTAATATAATTTACTGGTTGCCCTGGCACGACAAATAAAAAACCCATTGAAATACTAACAAGTTTATATTTCTTAAAATTGTTCTTCATTTTAATTATTGTATTGTTTTTAGGTGTTTTTGCACTACAAATAAGATACGTTACTAACCGGTGCTTCTTGCAGGGAGCGGTCAACCCTCCTGTTTAAGGAGCTCCATTGGCTGCCATTCATTTTCCGATCCCAATTCAAGGTGCAGGATCTTACCTACAAAGCCCTGAACGGTTTGGGACCCGTCTACCTGCGTGACCGCATTTCTGTGTACGAACCCACACGTTCTCTTCGATCATCTGGAGAGGCCCTGCTCACGCTCCCACCTCCATCGCAGGCGAGATTAGTGGGGACGACAGAGAGGGCCTTCTCAGTGGTGGCCCCTCAACTCTGGAATTCACTCCCTAAGGACATCAGACTTGCTCCAACGCTGGCAGTCTTTAGGAGGAGCCTGAAAATGTGGTTGTTCCAGCGTGCCTTCTCAGAGTAAGGAAAACTTTTAGCAATATGTCCTCAAATGCACTTTAATACTGAATTAAGATTGTCTGCGCTCCCTTATCTTTCTCTGATAACCCTATTCTAAATTGCCTTACCTTGTTCATGCCCAGCACTTTTTGATTTTAAATTTGAATTATTACATTTGGCCTGGCCATAGATTTTTAAATGCTGTATGTTTGATATTGTTATTGTTTATTGCTTATTGTGTATTTTTCTGTTTTTGAGTTATTTTAACTGTTTTGTATTGATTATTGTTATTGCTTTTGTTTATTGATGTATTGTAGGCTTGGCCTCATGTAAGCCGCACCGAGTCCCTTGGGGAGATGGTACAAATAAAGTATTATTATTATTATTATTATTATTATTATTATTATTATGTGCAGTGTACATAGGAATTCACTCTTTTTTTCCAAATTATAATCTGGCCCTCCAACAGTTTGAGGGACTGTGACCTGGCCCTCTGTTTAAAAGGTTTGAGGACCACTGTTTTAAATAGTATGAATAATACTTCAGTCATAGTAATATTTTCACAATAAAAGTCAATTTCAAATTAGGAAAGAGACCAAGCAAAAATCAAGTAATATATACTTACCACACAGAAGATAAATGCAGGTTCACATTTGTCTTTAAATGGGAGCAGAGGCACAATGTTCTCAGCTTCCGCCTTGAATGAAGAATATGTAGATAAGTAATCATATCTTTCTCATGAATTGTGCCAAAATATTGGCCATCTGTTGGCACATATCTTCTTTTTATGCCTCTAAATCTTAATCTTTTTCTCTTGCTTCCATTAATGTAAACAAATCAATAAAGTATTCTTGCTTTTCATCTTATTCTCTGAATTTTTGTTCCAATTTTGTTGTTCTTTTGCTGTCTTTTTTCGTTATTGAAAAGTAAATATAATTTTTTTTTGGTCGTGTCAGGAGCATCCTGTTGTGAGAGAATTGGCCGTCTGCAAGGACGTTGCCCAGGGGACGCCTGGATGATTTTTGATGTTTTATCATCCTTGTGGGAGGCTTCTCTCATGTCCCCGCATGAGGAGCTGGAGCTGATAGAGGGAGCTCAACCGCCTCTCCCCAGTTTTGAACCTGCGACCTGTTGGTCTTCAGTCCTGCCAGCACAGGGCTTTAACCCACTGCGCCACTGGGGGCTCTGAGTAAATATAATGACATAGTCATTATAGTCACTAAAAGATAGTCCGTAAATATAATGACTATCTTTTAGTTACTTGAAAAATAAATAAATATTACAACTTGGTAGTTTATGGTACAAAGCACACTTCAATGATGATAGAAGAAGCAACTACCTGATCTATAACTAAAGACAAAAATCATAATCAGGTCATAGCTGTAGAACCAACCAAAATGTCTTAAATGTGGGAACTTTTAAGTTCTCTTCATCAAGTTTCATCGGGAACAAGAACTATGCAGTGGAAGGAAAAATAAATGTTGAAATCTTGTTGCCAGTTCTCGCTGAACTAGAATAATCAATTGACAGTTTTTGTTCTTGCTATTTATTATCTGGGGGAAAAGGCTGTACATTTCACAGTGACTGACACTTGAGGATTCAATGGGACACTGCTGTTGAATGCCATAGTTGGCACCTATTTTTTTTTTTGCTGGTTTCTGCACCAAAAAGTGACTCTGGGAGACTAAAATGTCCCATCCTGCATGAGACACCACCTGAGATAAGTAAAATAAAGCCTGTGGTTTTCATTACTTTACTATAAACATGTGCTCCCCCAAACAGCATTAAAAATCTTAGTGATTCAATCCTCACCACTGCAAAATGTAGGAGATTATCTTCACCATATTCATTTTTAAGTTTTCTGAATAAATTCACCACTGCTTTACAAGGTCCACACCAACCTTGATAAACGTCTACCACTGAAAAATATACACAGAAACAAGAATCAATCTCAATGAAATATAATTTTAAAATAAAGATACAATTTTCTTCCTTTTTTGCAATATAGCATGTTCAGATTAAATGTTGCTGCCTGAGGCAAAGGATCAAAAAATCCCTCCTCATTCCATACGGAGGCCTCTTCTACACTGCCATATAATGCAGATTGTCCAAGCATATAATCCACATTATCTGCTTTGGACTGGATTATATGAGTCTATACTGCCATATAATTCAGTTCAAAGCAGATAATTTGGATTTTATATGGAAGCGTAGAAGGATCCAGAGAAGCAGTCTGAACTGGAATCCAAATCTATTTACTATGCTATATATTCATTGTATATTGCCTGAGTACCTTAGTTGTAGGATGGTGAAAAATAGTTTTAAGTACAGGGTGAGGCATCTAACTTCCTTTTTTAAAATGCGCGCCATTCAGTCGGTTGAAGACGTAGCAGAGCACTAGTGGTCTCGTTCGAGAGGCAGGAGTATAAAGTTTTGTCCTGACACAGTTAAATCACCATCATACGTTGGAATAGTGAGGAGCGTGCTTTTGCCATTGAGGCCTACTTTTCGAGTGGAATTGGAGTGGCCAGCCCACTCTCCAGATTTGGCCCCTTGCGATTTTTTTCTATGGGATTTTTTGAAATCCCGTGTTTATGTGAACCGTCCAAGGACTCTACAAGATTTGAAGACCAACATCCAGGAAGAAATTGCCAAAATAACGCTTGCTATGCTGGCAAGAGTCATGACAAACGCCAGAAATCGGTTTACTCAATGTATGGAAAATGGAGAATGGGGGACGTCACCTACCTAATTTGATCTTCAAAACTACGTAAAACAAAACTTTAGGTATGTGCCTACATTATATTAAAAAAATTCTGATTCATACAATGGGTTTTATTAAGTTTTGAAAAAAGTAAGTCATGCTGCCTCACCCTGTATATAAATTAAGATATTTTGAAGTTGATGTGGCCCTGTGTTAAAAAGCAAAATCTGAGGAAAACTCCACAAAATAAGGGTGCATCTGCACTGTTGAATTAATGCAGCTTAAGACCACTTTAATTGTCATAGCTCAATGCTGGGGTATCATGTGAGTTGTGGTTTTACAAGGTCCTTACATACAAAGTGTATTGGTGCCCCACCAAACTACAACTCCTGTGATCCCACAGCATTGCTCCATGGAAGTTACAATGGTGTCAAACTGCATTAATTCCACATTGTGGATGCATCCTAGGATTGCTAGAGTCTGGAAAATTTAGGCCCCTTCCACACAGCTGAATAAAACCCCACATTATCTGCTTTGAACGGGAATATATGACAGTGTGGACTCAGGCCCTTTCCACACAGCTGAATAAAATCCAACGACTTTGGCCCAGTTTACCTGTCCGAATGGATTCTCCCCTATGAACCATCAAGGTTGTTAAGATCTTCTGGAGGGGCCCTGCTCTCGGTCCCATCACCTTCGCAATCGCGTCTGGTGGGGACAAGAGACAGGGCCATCTTGGTGGTGGCCCCTCGGCTCTGGAACTCTCTCCCGGTGGAGATTAGATCTGCCCCTTCCCTCCTGATTTTCAGAAAGCTGGTAAAATCTTGGCTCTGGAACATAACATTCTCAGAATGATGATCGAGTCAATAACTGTTGACCACACTGGCGGATGGTGATGAATTTGTGATTTACCTTAACGACATGGCTTTATGTAATTATTTAATCTGTATTTTAATGTATTTTAATGTATTAACGTATTATGATGTTATTATATTTTAGCTTATTTGTGTATGAATTTCCTGTTGTTAGCCGGCCTGAGTCCCTCTTCGGAGGTCAAGAAGACCGGGTTATAAAAGCTCTAAATAAATAAAATAAATAAATAATAAATAAACATAATCTGCTTTGAACTGGGATATATGGCAGTGTGGACAGAGATAACCCAGTTCAAAACAGATATTGTGGGATTTTCTGCCTTCATATTCTGGGTTATAGGGCTGTGCGGAAGGGCTCTTAGATAACCCAGTTCAAAGCAGACACTATGGGATTTTCTGCCTTAATATTCTGGGATATAGGACTGTGTGAAAGGGCCTTTAATTGTTTGGAACACGACTTACAGATTCCTGAGCAAGCATTGCTATGGCTTGGCTACTCTGATTGGGGGATTTTGGGAATTAAAACCTAAAGAGTAACTTTTTTGATCTTTGGTCATGGAACACTAGCATGTGAATTGACAGACTCCTTTCAGGATGAGACCTGCTTAGTTTTTCACGCAAACCATGAGATCAATTAAGAGGAGCCAGATGCAAAAGACAGAAAGATCCCTGGAATTAAAGAATTCTGAGCTCTGAGATTTTTTATGGGAACCAGATTGCACTGAGATCATTTACACAAAACCCCAATCTTGTTTACCCTAAGAATACACATTTTGATAATCTAGCACTGTGTGCAGGAGAGGCATTCTGTTGTGCTAACTGTTAAACAACTTCAAGCCAGAAGTCCTTGCCAATGTACTGCAAACTATCATTGCGAATACAAGTGGGATGGAAGATTAGGATTGTCTTGTTTTCTATTTGATGACTGGAGATAACAGAGCCTTGTCTGGAACAGATGGAATATTGTAGTACAGCTTGGAGGCCTCCAGCTTGTGGAAAGCCTATTAATGGAGTCTGTACTCTGATTTTAAGATGCCTCCTACTGTATAACAGACACTGGTTGCTGATGCAACTAAGGCTAAACTCAATACGATGTTGAATGCATCTTTGCACAGAATTGTACATGCAGAGAGTAGGCATGGCATTGTGATTTGAATGCTGAAGTAGGACTCTGGAAGACCTGCCCTAAAATCCCCATTAAGTTCTGGAAATTGGTGATTTTGAGCAAGTCACACTCCCCCAACCTCTGAGGAAAGCAATGGCATAAATCTCTATGGCACAACTCTATGATAGGAATGGACTTGAAGACGCATAATTACTTCTACTACTGCTACCACTATTACATAGTACATTTATTTTTTAATGCACAAAAGGAATAATTGACATCTATGTACGATGTATTATAAGAATGTGGAAGAGGAAAAGAAGAGGAAATGTACCTGTTAGACCTTTATTCAGCAACATCTCATCCCATTGCATTTGATTGGTTATTACTGTCTAGAACATAGAATTTTGTTAGCTCTCAAATGCTAGATATTCCAATGACTTGTTGAATAGTTTATTATTTATATATTTACTAGCTGTACCTGCCACACATTGCTCTGGCAAACCTTCCCTCCCTCTTTCTCTCCTTCTTCCTTTCCCTCCCTTCTTCCTTCCCATCCCTTTTTCTTTCTCCCCTTTCTTCCTTCTGTACCTCCTTCCTTCCTTCCTTTCCTCACTCTTTGCTTCCATCCTCTTTCCTTCTCTTCCTCTCCTTCTTTCCCTCCCTCTTTCTTTCCTTCCCTGGCAGTGGATGAGGCTCCCCCCTCGCCGGACCCACCATTGTGCCATCCATTCCTAGCTCCTGTGCTGGCCGGAAGAGGGAGGATGGTCAGCAGTGCCTTTCATGCTTGATGTGTCCTCACGGAGGAAAGGGCGGGGCCATGGAATTTGTTTGCATGCATGTGCTGTGTTGTCTTCTACCTTTTTTGGATTTTAAACTTCTTTTCACTGTTTTTTTGTGATTTTTTGAGTGATGGTCACTCCTTGGGTTAGAAGGTGCCTTTTGGCCAAATTTGGTGTCATTTCGTCCAGTGGTTTTTGAGTTATGTGCGTCCCACAAATGAACATTACACACACACACACACACACACACACACACACACACACACACACTAGCCGTCCCCTGCCACGCGTTGCTGTGGCCCACATGGGGGTTCTATGTGGGAGGTTTGGCCCAATTCTATCGTTGGTGGGATTCAGAATGCTCTGTGATTGTAGGTGAACTATAAATCCCAGCAACTACAACTCCTGAATGTCAAAATTATATTTTCCCCAAACTCTACCAGTGTTCACATTTGGACATAGTGAGTATTCGTGTAAAGTTTGGTCCAAATCCATCATGGTTTGAGTCCACAGTGATCTCGGGATGTAGGTGAACTACAACTCCAAAACCAAAGGACACTGCCAACCAAACCCTTCCAGGATTTTCTGTGGGTCGCGTTCTGTGTGCCAAGTTTGGTTCAATTCCATCGTTGGTGGAGTTCCGAATGCTCTTTGATTGTAGGTGAACTATAAATCCCAGCAACTACAACTCCCAAATGAAAAAAAAATCTTTTTTTTTTTGAGTGAAGGACATACATTGGGTTTAATGTATTGTCGAAGGCTTTCGTGGCTGGAATCACTAAGTTCTTGTGGGTTTTTTCGGGCTATATGGCCATGTTCTAGAGGCATTTCTCCTAACGTTTCGCCTGCATCTATGGCAAGCATCCAGTGTTTGCCATAGATGCAGGCGAAAAGTCAGGAGAAATGCCTCTAGAAAATGGCCATATAGCCCAAAAAAACCCACAAGAACTTATACATTGGGTTGTTAGGTGTATTGTGTCCAAATTTGGTTTTTATGTTCTGTTAATCCCACAAACAAACATAACATTTTTATTTATATAGATATAGATTTGCAGTATATCTATTCTGCCTTTATGGGCCAGAAGGTGATTGGCAGCAATTTGATGCCACAGCAGTCATATAATATAATTAAAAAACATTTAGCACAGCATTATAAAAATCCATACAAAAACCCGATTAAAACATATAATCACTGGTGTCATCCTGTTATAGTTAAGAATAGTTAAGAAAAAAAGATCTGTACCTGTAGCTGAATTTCTTTCTTCTTGCTTGTCATCTTATTTCTTACAGCTATTCAAATGTAAAAAATATTGAACTGAAATAATTGAGAAAAATACTGTTATTGCATTTTGACATTTATTTCAGTAGAAATTTTTGTTCATTTAAACTAGTGTAATAAACAGTCAAACATATACATTTACAACAGGCAATGGAAGAAGGCCAAATAAATTTAGTAAATGATTTGAAGATAATTTTAAAGCATCTTCCGCTGTGGAAGAGAGACTAAAGGGGTCAAATCTTCTTTGTCATTGCATAAAGTGGAGAAAAATGGCACTGTGCTAATAGACTGACCTCTTATTATGACTATACTACCACATATAATATAGGGAAGTTATTATAGCTTCATCAGAGACCAACAAGTTTCTGCATAGTATACTGAGACCACAACCCTTAATACAGGTACATGAAAACATTTACTGGAATCAATATTTTATACCAGCAGAGGGAGTAGCATGGTTGAGTTAAGCAAAAAAGGACTTGCTCCCACTGTTCAAGGTTTTGTTTTGTTTTTGTCATGTCAGGAGCGACTTGAGAAACTGCAAGTCGCTTCTGGTGTGAGAGAATTGGCCGTCTGCAAGGACGTTGCCCAGGGGACGCCCGGATGATTTGATGTTTTTGTCATCCTTGTGGGAGGCTTCTCTCAAGTCCCCGCATGAGGAGCTGGAGTTGATAGAGGAAGCTCATCCGCCTCTCCCCAGATTCGAACCTGCGACCTGTCAGTCTTCAGTCCTGCCGGCACAGGGGTTTAACCCACTGTGCCACCGGGGGCTCCTGTTCAAGGTGATCAACAACAATATTTTTCTAAAAAACCAAACTGAACAATAAAGTCACTACATTCAACCATATAATAATAACCATAATGGCACATCACCTCTTGCACAGGTTCGTAGTACTTATAGAGGCTATGATATTGAATAGGCATTAACTGCTTTCAGGAATGATGAAAACTGTGAAAGAAGGCGATGGAGTGACTGATAGGGCTGCTGTTGACATTGTTGCCGTGGTTACCAGGAGCATCCAACTGTCAAGCAGGCCAAAGAAGGAGGAAAGGCCTGGTCTAGATGTGGCTTAAGATCCTCCAGCCTCACTTTGATTGTACTTTTCCTGCATGACAGGAGTTGGACCAGATGGCCCATGTAGTCTCTTCCAAGTCTATTATTCTGTGATCTTAGATAGGAGACAGGCAATGATGAGCTTTCTCTGAAAAACACCTTATATATTTCCTCTGGAAAATATATTTATTTATTATTATTCGAACTTATATGCCGCCACTCCCCTGGGGCTCGGAGCGGCTTACAAGAACAGGCTAAAATCTAACACAATTTAAAAACAATTTAAAACAATTTAAAAACAGCAATATTAAAAACCAAAGGCCAATCGAAACAGATATGTCTTGCATGCCCTGCGGAAAGCTAGTAAGTCCTGCAAGGCACAGACTTCAGGTGGCAGAGTATTCCAGAGTGATGGTGCCACTGCTGTGAAGGCTCTGCGTCTGGTTGCTGTTAGACGCAAAGGTCTTGACACTGGGGACTTCCAATAGATCTTGGTCCTCAGAACGGAGGGATCTCTGGGGTTGGTAGGGGGTGAGGCGGTCCCTCAGTACATCGGCCCCAGACCATGCAAGGCCTTAAAGGTGAGTACCATCACTTTGAAAGTGATCCGGTGTTCAATTGGTAACCAATGCAGCTGTAGTAAGATTGGTGTTATGTGGCATCTCATCGGAATTCCCGCAAGAAGCCGAGCAGCTGCATTTTGTACCAACTTGAGCTTCCGGATCACCGACAGAGGAAGGCCAATGTAGAGGGTGTTACTAGGCCTGGGTAACAACGGAAAAATTTGTTTCTAAAATCGATTCATTTTTTGGGTTTTTGCGTTTCGATATTTAAAAGAATTCCGAAATTTTCCTTTAAAAAAGTTCGATATTTACGAAATTTCGTAAATGGTAAAAAATTTACAAAACAATAACGAAACAATAACGAATCGATTCGTTAATGGCGGCCGCAATTGCACAATACGCTAAAAAAACTTCTGAAGCTTCCCTCTCCCTCTCTTGTTGACTGTTGGTGTGATATTATAATTTTTTTTCACTAATTAAACAAAAAACAACTATAAAACTTGCCCCAGACATGCGGAAATAATAACGAAACGACCTCAAACCAATAACGAAACGAATACATAACGAAATGCGAAGCATTTACGAAACGAATTGAAAAATTCGTTTCGTTTTTAAGTTGCTCCAGAATGGTTCATTATCGCTTCGTTAACAAAAAAATAACGAATTTTTAACGAATTACGAATTAATGAAATGAAACCGCCCAGCCCTAGGTGTTACAGTAGTCCAGTCTTGAGATGACCGTAGCCTGGATCACCATAGCTAGGTCGTCCCTGGACAGGTAGGGGGCCAGCTGTCTAGCCTGCCGCAGATGAAAAAAGGCAGTTCTGCTAACGGTGGAGACCTGGGCCTCCATCGTCAGCAGAGGGCCCAAAAGGACACCATCCAGGGTAGGCAGCTGGATATCCCCACTGCCCGGTCGACCCAGCCATAGGATCTCCGTCTTTGCTGGATTCACCCTCAACCTGCTGGCACGCAGTGACTGATAGGGCTGCTGTTGACATTGTTGTGGAGTGACTGATAGGGCTGTATACTAGCTTGGGGACCCAGCGCTGCCCGTGTTATTTGAGAAAGGCATTGTTTGTCTGTGCTCCAAGTTTAGTCTAGATCCAATGTTGGCTGGGTTCAGTGGGTGCAGGTATACTTGAATGTACAGGATTCAAATCAAACTGTTTTCAGACTGAAATGCTCAAAATCTGTTGAATGATAAAGAAGCTCAACTTCTAATATGATGAAATTTGAGGATTTGGTTAAGCTTCTCAAGAATATGAAGCAGAGAAAATTCTAGGCCACCAATGTTGTTGCACAAATTGCTTTCCAGACTCTGACTTCTAGAGGAATTGTTTCCTTTGTATTGTTCTTGATCAACCTTAGACATTTTTCTTCACTGCTTCTTTCATGTCCTTCCGAAAAAGCCTCAAGACCTGGCTGTTCGAGAGGGCATTTAATTAAGTGCTATAATAATGTGGTAAAGATGATTGGAATGGAATAAGGAATATGAGATTGGTTATGATTCCACTATGAGACGAAGCGGACTTTTAGTGTAGTTTTGTAATTGTTATGTAGTTTATAGGTTGTGTAATTGCCTTTTGTAAATTGTCTTTTATATGTGTGTACACCGCCATGAGTCGCCCTAAAGGGCTGAGAATGGCGGTTAATAAATGCATCAAATAATAAATAAATAAATAAATGATTTACAAAATAGCTCTGTTTTTAAATATGAACTAGTCCTTGGAAGCAGAGGACAGAACCTTGCCCCCTCCTTTTATTATCAGTGTTATGGAGTGGATTTTTATTATGGGAACATTTTGCCTATAAAAATGCACCCAGCATGAATCAAGAAAAATGTTGTTGCCTTGGAGACTATATGGTGACCTTAAGAAAGAACAAAAGTGCTGTATAAATAACAACCTGGAGAGTAATCAAAATCAAATGATTTCCAGGGCTAAACTTAATGACTTTTCTGTTAGGAGAAACTGCATGGGTTTTCAAGGATATTAAGACTGGCTTCTCCTCTAAACTGTTCAGTCTGGCTCGATTCACTCAGCTTTATAAATCTCTTGAAGACTATTTTAGCATGATGCAGAATAGTTTGGGTTTCTTCTCTACAATAAATCATGGGTTAAATATTCAATGAGGACCTCTCCTAAGGTAACACAATATTTGAAATGTGGTATAATGTGGACATTGTAAGGAGATGTATCAAACCAAAAAAATGAGGAGAAAGTGAAAGGTACATGATGTTTTTTATTTAAAAAAACAGCTGCATTTCGGTGAAACAAGCAGAGTATTATTATTATTATTATTATTATTATTATTATTATTATTAACTTTATTTGTACCCCGCTAGCATCTCCCGAAGGACTCGATGCGGCTTACAAAGGCCAAGGCCTCAACACACAATATAACAATACAAACCTAAAGCAAATTAAAAACAATTAAAGCAATATAAACAACAAGCAATAAACAATACACTAAACACAATAAAACTGGGCCGGGCCAGAGTAATGGGTACAGGATTAAAAGTGCTGATGTGACAGGTGGTATATAAGGCTTATAGGGCAAGTGCAGTGTGCGGTGTGCAGCAATCTTAGTTCTAGTAAAGTGCTTATGGGACTTGGTATTGGAGATTTCCTAATCTGGGAAGGCACATCGGAACAGCCAGGTCTTCAAGTTCTTTCTGAAGACTGCCAATGTAGGGGCCTGTCTAAGATCTTTGGGGAGGGTGTTCCAGAGTCGGGGGGCCACCACAGAAAAGGCCCTGTCTCGTGTCCCCACCAAACGCGCTTGCGACGCAGGCGGGATCACGAGCAGGGCCTCTCCAGATGAACGAAGTGAACGCGTGGGTTCGTAGACGGAGATGCGGTCACGCAGGTAGGATGGTCCCAAACCGTTCAGGGCTTTGTAGGTAAGCACCTGCACCTTAAATTGGGCTCGGAAAATAAACGGCAGCCAGTGGAGCTCCTTGAACAGGAGTAAATCCGAGTTCTGTCAACTAAAATTGAAGAACTTTTTTGAGCTTCTCAAATTGTTTTAGATTGGAGAAGTTGGGTAAATAGTCATAGCTTATCTCAGGGTAGTGTCACTGCTACTGTAATAAAAGCCTTTTTTCAGTAAGAAACTATACTGAAGCAGAGGCTGGAAATATTATTGGGGGATAGACTACAATTTTCAGAACATGACTGCAGATTTCTGAATAACAACTCAGCTGCATTATTTTCTGCTTCTCTGAAAGTATATGGTAACTGGGCATATAGAGTTGTAGTAACCCAAGCATCAACTTCAATCTACTTTTGGGGGTGCAGCTGCCTTGATCAACTTGGTGGATGGTTAATTCTATGGAATGGATGGGGGAAACAGAGCTCTGTTTGCTCTCCTGGACTTATTTGTGACCTTTCAATACCATTGATGATTAAATTCTTCTGGGTAGCCTTAACTTTTTTTAATTGATTTTTATCAGTGAACACCATCAAGACATAAAGACAACATTTATAACAATAGACGAAAATTATAAATAAAATGCTAAACGAAAATAACCAACATACTATCCTAATTCCTTGTACAATGAAAGTGGGTGAACATGTTTATGGAGAGAAGTATGGAAAAAAGAGAAAGAAAAAAAGGGGGTGGGGGATGGAGTAGGGGGATAGGAGAGGGCAAAGGGGGTAGGAAAAAAAACCAGAAGAGAAATCAGCATCAACAGTCCATACAAACCAACATAAATACATTATATATTATTCTTGTTACTTCCAGACTGCTTATGTGGTATTACTTTTTCTGTACACTTGATTCCTTCCCATTTATATATGCTCCAGTGCATATAACTTATATTTGGCCCTTAGGACGTCTTTATTCCATTTTTATAAACATTTGTAGTTGCTGTTCTTTTAAAATATATATATTATTCAAGTTTGTTTTGTTTAGAATTGATCTGTTTTGAGCAATGTTTTGAGTCAGTAGATCTATATTCATAATGTCTAAGGGTAGCCTTAACTTTTGAGGCAAAGGATTCTGGGGCTCCTGGGTTTTTTTTCTTCTGGTATGGGAGTGTAAGAAGTTGGTGGAAGTTGTGGTTCTGCCTTGTGACATTTGGCATATTGGGTGCAGTAGTAGGATGCAGTCTCATGTCCTTTACTCTAATTTTCTTCAACTAGACCTGGGTGAAGGCACCAGACTTAGGAAACCACATTTTCTGGGGTTGTCTCCCCTAATATCCTTCAACTAGACCTGGGGAGGAATTGAATTCTCCCTGTGGAAACTCAAGGGATAAATATTCAGTACAATAACCCAATATTTAGTCAACCCACCCCCCCCCCAATGCCCTTTCACAGCCCCCCTCCGCAAATGCATGCCACCCTCACCCTAGCAAAATAGCTTTTTAAGAAAAGGAAATGAAAGATATTAAACTAAGAAAAATAAATTAAATTGCCAAAGGAAAAAAATGGAATTGAGTTCAAAAGCAAACAAAGCGATCCTAAGAGCAGCAACAGTGATAGAACACACAGCTAGTAGCTAACATGTGAGTGGCTTTCTTCTTCAAATTGGCTTTTCCCCTTTTGTCCCCCCTTCTTCTTCTTTGTTTAAGTGTATAAACCACTTTCCCAAGAAGAGCTGCAAAGGATAAAAAATGAAAAGAAAAAAAGGTGAATATAAGAAGATGCCAAATGAAACTTAACCAAGAACCTGGCTAATGTTTAGGTACAAGGCGAAGTGAAGAGAAAATGGCGGAGCTGGTGCTTGAACCAAAGAATGGGCCGAGATTACAGACTTCATAGCTCTTCGATTTCCCGAAACGAATCAGAAAGCATCTCTCACTTGCATCGCAGTTCAGCAACACAGTTTTCTCTCCAGACAGAAACCTCAGTGATATAAGCCATTTGGCGGCCTGGGGAAAAAAAAATTTTGGCCGAGGGGTGCCCCATGCCATTTACGACTGACCAAAAACACCAAAACAACCAAGAGCCCCATTTTGAAAAAAAATGGATCCATGGCACAGCCCCCCCTAATGACTTATTGAGGGCCAACTAAGGTCCCCCCTCAAGCTTCCAAATTTGAACCCCGCTGCCCCCACACCCCGAGCTCTTTTTCCTACAAACTAACAACTTTGTTTTTTTGTGTGTGTGCTTTAACAAATCTGTGAAAAAACAATTACATATTTATTCTAACAGGAACATTTGCTCTAGTAACAGCCTACCAGTGCATTGAGCTCATTTTCAGAGGCTCAGTTCTTGGTATCTTCATTATATAAGGTCGAAAACAGACCAAGAGATCTCCCTACATATTTTTCCCCCCCAAAGAACCTTGCGCAGTGCCCACAGTGCTACCCTTTCAAGTTGAAATAACTAGTTTTCTCTAAGCTTTCAAAATCTCAATTGCTTTTCAGTGCTCCCAGGTTCTGCAAAAATAAATAATAATAATAATAATAATAATAATAATAATAATAATACTTTATTTATGTTCCTCCCTTCTCACCCCAAAGGGGACTAAGGGCAGATCACAAGTATGCATACACAGCAAACATTCAATGCCATTTGTATAGACAGTACACAGACAGACAGCACAGAAGGAGGTGTTGTTTCGATGTCATGGACAGTTGGGCTTGAGTCCACAGGGGGTGTTGTTGCTCCATTCTCTATGATGAAGAGCCATCGAGACTTCCTCATTTCAGCATTTTCTGATCTTTTTTTATGGTTTTGTAAAACACCTCCCCCGCTTTAGCGGTACCTAATTTCTCTAATTACAGCTAAAGCCCTTTTCAGACTGCTTAGGTAAACAATTAGCAGGGCTGACGGTTGGCCGCTCACGCCGACCCGGGGTTCAAACTTGCAACCTTTCGGTTGATAGATCTTATAGTTACTGGTGATTTACCAGTTGTGCTAAACCTCCGGCCCTGAATAGTTTGCAACCATGCCCTGGCCTTTGCACAGACAAATATGTTGCTTTTATAAAAATGGAAGAATCCCTGATATACTTACTCAAGCCCAGATGAGAGTGAGATTATATAATTATTTGAGTCAGGCTCTCCAAATTGAGCAGGAGAAAACTGGTTTCTTCTCTCCCCATCACTGGCAGAGGCATTTTCAGAGGTAGAAATGTCTTATTTTGTCTGATAGAGTAAAAAATGTTAAGTGCTGGTGAAGTCTTGTGACTCCAACTTAAGTGAATTCAGGCTGAATTTTTGACTTTAAAGGGGCTATCTGTAGTCCTGTTTGGGAAGAGAGATGAATAGATCTTTTAACATGTGGACCATAATCCCAAATGAATTTACTATCCTGTTGATATTGTAGCAACCAGTTTTTACAGTATGGAAGGAACCAGAAGTGAGGACATGAACTCCTTGCTCCAACCAAGGAGAGGGAAGTCATATTGATATTTGGACCACAGAATCTGTAATCTATCAATGGCACACAGCTGTTTTCACCCTGCAAATGTGAACAAATCTGTGGATCTCATGGACAGTTGCCTGGATGTGGTTTTGGGATAGATGATAGTGACCAAGGAAATCTGAGATTACACAAAATAGAAATGCTGTGTTGGGGCAACCAGTAAGATCTGGATAGAGAGGTACATTTCAATATTCTGTGTCATTGTATAGAATCTTATATTGAATGTTATTTTCTGCCTAATCATGTGAATGAACCAATGTTATTCTCTGAAGGAGAAGAACTCTTTACTAGAACTTCAAGAAGCAACAGAAAATGCTCAGATTGCACTCAAAACATTAATTTCCAAGGCTGTGCAAAATTGTAGGAAAAAAAAAGAACAGTACTAGTTTAACTACATTTAAAGGAGTAGTCATGACTGTGACTCCTCTACCCTCAACCTTTATGGAGTTAAGCATCCAGAGTTCATTCAGAGAATTTTAAACATTTAGTCTTTAATTGCAAATCTCAGAATTCCATAGGATTTTACCATGGCAGCTAAAGTGAAACCTTAGCATTATAATTGTGTAGTATGAAAGGATCCTCTGCTACATTTATTTATTCTTTGTTTATTGTTTATTTACTGCATTTATATCTCATCCTTCTTACCTCAAAGGGGACTCAGTGTGGTTCACAACAAAGGCACAATTCAATGCCTTGAGTACATATAAAAATAAAACAACATATACTTTAAAATCACATAATTAAAACATATCATTTAAAACAATTACTTAAAATCACACAGTCCAAAAGGATATTCCAGGAGCCATTCCAATTGTACTTGCATTATTCATTATTGCACTGAGAGATCATTGTTGCACTGGGAATCATTGTGCAAACGCTTGGTCCCACAACCATGTCTTCATTTTCTTCCTGAAGGTCAGGAGGGAGGGAGCTAATCTAATTTCCCTGGGGAGGGAGTTCCATAGCTGAGGGGCCACCACTGAGAAGGCCCAGTTCCTCATTCCCACCAACTACATCTGCAAGAGGGGTGGGATCGAGAGCAGGGCCTCCCTGGACGATCTTAACCTCCAAAATGGTTCATAGAGGGAGATACGTTCAGACAGGTAAGCCTAGCTGGAACCATTTAGCGCTTTATAGGCTAAAGCCAGCACTTTGCATTGAGCTTGGTAACAGACTGGCAGCCAGTGGAGATGGCACAACAGGGGTGTTGTGTGCTCCTTGTACCCCACTTCAGTTAGAAACCTGGCTGCCACCCATTGGGCTGTCCAAAAAAGGCTTTAAGTGCTATTCATGTCCTTACACTTAAAATAAATAGGAACAGAACCACATGTATAAAAGATCAAAAACTTTTAATGTTTTTGTGTCACTGTTATTCCTTTTTTTCCTTTTACCAACCCTTCATTATAGACAGATTTTTACACTACACTTGATTTTAGCCTTTTTATCGCTTCTTGGCCTTTTGGCTAAGATCAATTGTAGTGTAGACAGATTTTTTTCCTGTATATTTTTCTTAAGGTAGCAATAGTATGTAAATATGAAACAGCTGCTGAATTGCCATGAAACAAGCAAATTAGATTTAGGGGATATTCAGCTCTCTGAATGTTACTGGAGAGCAACTATAAGGATCCCTAGAACTTGTTGTGAGGGATGATGTTGTTTGCAGTCCAACATCTGGAAAGACTCACCCAAGCTGCAAAGATGTAGTTAGGCATACTGTTGAAGTTCTCTACAATTTCTTTCAGGGTGTAGATATATGTGTGTGTGTATCCACACAGATGCATATACATAAAAACACACAGCATATTATTTATATTACCTAGATTTTTGTTTTGAGAAATGTAAAGTCATATACTTTTTCTCTGATCAGCTGACCTTATTGGTCTATAGGCATTTTTCTTAAGGCAAATACATAATGCATTAACAACAGATTTTTGGCCTTAAGAGTTTCATTTCCCCAATCACAAATGAAAACAAATCAAGGCAGCTGAGTGCAGTTATACTCAAGAAGACCTCATTGTATATAGTCAAATACGGTTTCTTGTTCCAGTGCTGAATATAATAAATCCGAAATAAGTGATGAGGAAGGAAGCAAAAAATGGAAACTAAAACAAAAATAAGGCTTTTCAGCTGGGCCCGAAACTCTTGATGAAGGAAAATGGACCCTGAGATCATCTTCACCACCTTCTGAAGCATGAAAACTTGTAAGCCCAAAAGGGCACATGTTATCACAATCATGATGACAATTAAAATGTAGTTCAATACTTTCACTGCGCTGACCTCTAATTCCTGGTGAAAGATAAAACATTTGTTGTTGCTATATTCCCCCCTTTTTCCATACCATAAATACATTACAGGTCCTATAGCAACAAGAGTCAGAAACCACACAGCTGTGCTCATAGCAACTGCATGCAAATTTCTGTAGAATTCCACCTTATCCTTCTTCTTAAAGAAAATAAGACACCTGGTTAACAGGATAATCACATAGAAAAGAAAGGTGAGGTACATGTGCAAGTGTACCATTATGCTCACAAGTTTACAAAAGAATATTTGAAAGATCCAGTTGCCTGTGCTGTAGTAATAGAGTCGAAATGGTACAGTCACAAGGAAGAGACTGTGGATCGCCACCAGGTTTATGATTGCTGTTGTGGTGACTGATAATGCATTCATTTTCATCAGCAAAGAGGACATCCTGATGACTCCACACACGCCACCAATAAACACTACTGTGTAGATAGTGATCAAGACAGGATTCAAAATACGATCATAAGAAGAAGTTGTTACTGGAGACTGAGTTGAGTTTATATTAAGAAGCATTCCTTTCTCTTCAGCCATGGTTCCAGAATTCTCTTTTGTCATGATCTAAGAGAAATAAAAAGAAAGGACCCAATCAATACCATTTACCATATATTTCAAAGCAAGTTTTGAAGGTATAAGTCATATAATCATAGAGTTGGAAGAGACCTCATAGCCATCCTGCCCAATCCCCTGTCAAGCAGCAGGAAAATTGCACTCAAAGTATCCCTATTCAAAGCCTATGAATGTACAGTGTTCCTTCACATATTGGGGGGTTTATTATTATTATTATTATTATTATTATTATTGTCGAAGGCTTTCATGGCTGGAATCACTCAGTTCTTGTGGGTTTCGAAAAAACCCACAAGAACTGAATTATTATTATTATTATTATTATTATTATTATTATTATTAATTTACTTAATTTATATACCACTTTTCTCAGCCCTCAGGTGACTCAAAGCGGTTAACAACAGCAAAATTCAATGCAAAACATCATAAAACAATTATGGGACAGTTAAAACAATAGCATCATCAACAATTAAACATCAATATAACAATCATTAGYRTCTCATCAGTAAAATCAGAATCCAATCTCATCATMCGTTAATCCGTGTTCCTATATTCATTACACTGCTTAATCGAATGCTTGTTCGAACAGCCAGGTCTTCACTTTCCTCCGAAATGCCAATAGGGATGGGGCCAATCTGATATCTATAGGAAGGGCATTCCACAGCCGAGGGGCCACCACTGAGAAGGCCCTGTCTCTCGTTCCCGCCAGGCGGGTTATGTTTCAGGACCACCCACGATAAGTGAAAATCCRTAAAGTAGGGATGCTATATTAATTTTAATATTTATACATTATTTTATATATTTTATATATTATTTTCTTACCTGCAATTCCTTACCCACCTCTTGGCCCATCCCAAGGGTGCCTGCCTGCCTCCTTGGTCTCCACCGACCCTGGCAGAGCCTCCGTAGCCATGCAGGCAGCAGCAGGCCAGGGAGGCAGGCCTTCCCCGTTGCACCTCAGACCGCCACACTTCTAGGGTCTGTGGAAGCCAGGGAGGCAAGCTTTCCCGGCTGCGCGTCAGGCCACCACACTTCCAGGATCCCTTGCCTCCATTGGATGTAAATATTTTTATTTTATATTTTTAATTAATATTTCCAAAAACCCATGAAACAGCGAGTCTGCTAAAAGCGAACCATGAAGTAGCGAGGGAACACTGTATGACTAGTATTATGGGAGATACAAAAAGGGACTGAATATGCTCTGTACTATGTATGTAGCTGGAAACAATTGTTGTGACTGAAATAGAAGGGAATTATTATATTCAACCTGGATTGCCTCACTGTTTTGTTCTTGATGCCCTCCAGCTAGCAACATTTGCCTGAGGTCTGAATGAGCCAAAGTTTCCTATGTTGCTTTCCATTTTTCTCTTTTAGCCTGTGATCAGTTTATGGTGGAAAGCATGCACATTTTACAGGCTCAAACATTAAAGCTTAGTTTTGTACAGTATGATTATACCTAGGAGTATCTCTCCTAGGTACAATCATATTCCTGGATTGTGTTTAATGGCAGTTCAACATGGCAATACAGACTTATGCTATCTTTACAGAATAATCACATTAAATATGTGATGGTAAACATGTCATTACAAATAGATGAGGTTTTTCTTTTTTAAAAAAAATGCAGATATAGAAGGGGATTATTTTTATGAAGACACTTGGGCTTCTTAAAACTTTCCACTAACTACTCCTTTCAACTTGAGATCATTTTTACATGACTCCAAGTAGACAGGTATATAAAACATTTAGTAATACATAACCCAGCATCTGCAAGCCTTGCTAAACAGGCTGGTTTTCCATTTTCATGAAGTACAGCTGAAGCATCTTCTGCAGAGTCCACTGCACAACAGATTCATTTAAATATCCAAAATAGCTACTAGATGACATTCAGAAAACTTTGATAACTTTTTGGGACCCCCAACATTGAGTTAAAGTCACCTCATTTGGGGATGAGACCCATAGTTTAAGAAGTAGGGCTGTAGTCCACAAAAATCTTGTGGGAAGGGGAGGAAGTAAGAAACATTCAGAAAACTTTGATAACTTTTTGGGACCCCCAACATTGAGTTAAAGTCACCTCATTTGGGGATGAGACCCATAGTTTAAGAAGTAGGGCTGTAGTCCACAAAAATCTTGTGGGAAGGGGAGGAAGTAAGAATCTGAAAGGTGTGTAATAAAAAATAACGGAATTGAGGGAGAAATAATTTTTGTCCCCTACTTGTCCAGGGATGACCTAGCTATGGTGATCTAGGCTACGGTCATCTCAAGACTGGACTACTGTAATGCCCTCTACATTGGCCTTCCTCTGTCGGTGATCCGGAAGCTCAAGTTGGTACAAAATGCAGCTGCTCGGCTTCTTGCGGGAATTCCGATGAGATGCCACATAACACCAATCTTACTACAGCTGCATTGGTTACCAATTGAGCACCGGATCACTTTCAAAGTGATGGTACTCACCTTTAAGGCCTTGCATGGTCTGGGGCCGATGTACCTGAGGGACCGCCTCACCCCCTACCAACCCCAGAGATCCCTCCGTTCTGAGGACCAAGATCTATTGGAAATTCCCAGTGTCAAGACCTTGCGTCTAACAGCAACCAGACAGAGCCTTTACAGCAGTGGCACCATCACTCTGGAATACTCTGCCACCTGAAGTCCGTGCCTTGCGGGACTTATCAGCTTTCCGCAGGGCATGTAAGACATATCTGTTTCGACAGGCCTTTGATTTTTAATATTGCTGTTTTTAAATTGTTTTAAATTGTTTTAAAATTGTGTTAGATTTTAGCCATTCTTGTAAGCCGCTCCGAGCCCCAGGGGAGTGGCGGCATATAAGTTCAAAAATTATAATTATAAAGATGGCACTCAAAGCGTTGGCACTGCCATACAAAAAGTGCACCCAAACCTAACCATGTAAACTTATGTTATGTTTCAGTGTCTTAAAAGAGATTTGCTCTTGGCTAAGTTAATTTATTATTTGTTATTTTATTATTTATTTTTACTAAGTTAGGTGTGCATAGTACTGCAGTTGAGTTTTGGAAACAGCAAATACAAATGTGAAGTGAGATGTTCATTGATATGACCTGGGCATTTTTTCTGTTTTGCTAACCTTTTGTTAGCTGAGTTCAGAAGTTTAAAGGTTTTAGTCCTGCCTTGAGTTCATCATCCTTTCTTTACAGTCTTTACCTGTACATCTCTTACGGTGAGTAATCACAGTCTCAGCATTTTCCTCGGTTCCCGTGCAGCCTTATTCTTTTGGGCTGTTTTCAATACTGAGTGATGGAAAATACAGTTTCCTCCTGTTTGGAAGTTTCACCTGCAGTTATAAGGAGAAATGCAAGATATTAAAGCTGAAAGAAAAGGCAGGTGTCAACAGTAAAGCCAGTTTCTTACTTTGTAAGTTTTAAGACATTTGCTTTCACCACAAAGTCATGAAAAGTAAACCATGTCCTATATTTTAATATACTACATTATCACTGACATTTTCAGACCTCCTGTTCAAAAATTAACTTATTTATGAACAAGGGCTAGTGCCACACTAACCAATAGGCATGGTTAGGTTTGGTCAGAATCTTCGTAATTCGGAATAAATTTGGAAATATTTCCTTTTTGAAGCAATTTCGAAGTTTTTAAGGAAAAAGTCCCTTTGCCATTCCAAAGCTTTTTCCACAATTTCTCTTACGAATCAGTGAGTAGGAAATTATTCAGCTTTTCAAACCAGTGTGGATGGATTCCCTTTGGTTGCCATTCCCTCCCGGTCAGCCTTGGGTGAGAGATGTAGTTTTAGCAGTTTGCATGGATTCCCTTCGGTTGCCATTCCTTCCCCATCAGCCTTGGGTGAGAGATGTAGTTTAAAGCCATTTGCATGGATTCCCTTCGGTTGCCATTCCCTCCCTATCAGCCTTGGGTGAGAGATGTAGTTTAAAGCCGTTTGCATGGATTCCCTTCAGTTGCCATTCCCTCTCGGTCAGCCTTGGGTGAGAGATGTAGTTTAACACAGTTTGCATGAATTCCCTTTGTTTCCTTTACCTCCCACGATTTCTTCTCTTTTCTCCCCCCACACCACTTCTGGAATAAAACAACTACTTTCAAAGTAAAGACCACCCAATGAAACAGGAAATAACACTCTGAAATGATTAACGAAGGATTCAGAAGTCTCAGAAGTTTTGAAAAGTTTTGAACATTTTTTCTATGAAAATCGGAATTGACTTTAGATCTAAACCACCAGATCCGAAATGAGTTTTGAACCATTTTTTAAAATCAAACAAGCTTACTAACCAAGTATTTTCATGCCATGTGAATGAACTAAATTCTGTCCCTAAGGAAAGTTCTTCATTGTACCGTCCTAGATTAGCATTTGCATATGCAATCTTTTCAAGGACAGTTTCTTCTTCATTCACAATATTGATATTTAAAGTGACTGTAGGCTCTAGAATAAATAATAATAATAATAATAATACTTTATTTATACCCTGCTACCATCTCCCCAAGGGACTCGGTGAGGCTTACATGAGGCCGAGCCCAAAGTACATCAACAGTAAAAGCAATAAGAAAACAATCAATACAACAGTTAAAGTAAAGAATAGGAATTCCCAAACTTTTTCAGTCATGTAATCCTTCAGAAGACATTTCCACCCCTTCCTCTGTGGAACCCCAACTCTATTCCTGATTTTTATCACACATTAACTTAGGTACCCAGTGATGCCCAAGTTAAGTATTTTGAAATGATAGGGCATGGCTCTCTGGATGTATGACATACTTTGGGTCTTTGGATGTGGATGGACTACAGCTCACATTATCCTTGGTTAACACCCCCCCCCCCCAAATGCAATGTTCCTGTTTGTGTCTGGTATGTTCTCCAATAGGGATTCTATGTGGTTAATCATGTCCTCACTAATGTTTCTGTACATAACAGCTTTGATTTCCAACTCATTGTCACTCAGATACTGGATCAGAAGAAGAAAGCATTTGTAGTTTTTTCTCATTCACATATTTGACCCAAAAATGAAGTCTGGTTTTCAGTGACGTCATTTTGTCTGTTAGCGTGAACATGGTTGTATCTTTCCGCTCAGAGATGTAGTAACTTAAGTTTTCTAGTTGGTGAGGTAAGCACATTGCATGAGTCACTTCTTGTTTTGTAAACTTTCAGTGTATTTCCTCTCTTATGAAGAAACCAGAAGCTTGTTGTACAGCTCAAAAAAACCTGGCCAGGATCTTACCTCCTGAAAGCCATCTAACTTCTATGTGAATTAGAAGCGACTGATGTTGACTTCTCATGTCTTCATAAGCCTTTGCAGAAAGAATTTACCAGAGTGAGTAAGACTATATAATTGACAATTTTTTACATTCATTAAGTTAGATGAAAGGTTCTTTGCCTCAAGAGCATACCAATGTGAGATGCAATGACTACTGGTACAATTTGGAGCTCCTTTTAAAATTCTTAATACTATCCCTTTCATTTTCCCCCACTATTGCTGCAGCTCAGTATCTGCGCATATTGATACACTTATCCCAATCAAAATTGAGTTTAAGCACACAACAGCTGATGATTTAAAAAATTCCTTCCCTGGATGCTCCAAACCTGTGCATATAAACAAATCTTTAACAAATACTTCAACTGGATATGCATCATCACAGGGTGTCTACGCCCTACACCACTGGAGAAATTACACTGTTTAGCCGGTATTGCACCACCTGACATCCGCCGGGGAGTAGCAACCAATAGTGAAAAGACCAAGGCAGTGACATCTCTGGCCCACCTCCTGTTTGGGTATGAGCCAGCACGCCAATGACTTAAATCAAGAAATAGTTTTCTAAGATCTACAGAGACACTCACTGGAACTCCTCAGCAAGCGAGAGTCCAAAAGTGGCAGGCTCAAACCCAGAATCTCAATCAATGGCTGATACCAAATGTGAGACTCCCTCCTGGGCACACAGAAAACTGGGTGACTCGGAAGGCGCTGAACAGATTGCGCTCTGGCACCACAAGATGCAGAGCCAACCTTAAGAAATGGGGCTAGAAAGTGGAATCCACAACATGTAAGTGTGGAGAAGAGCAAACCACAGACCACCTACTGCAATGCAACCTGAGCCCTGCCACATGCACAATGGAGGAACTTCTTGCAGCAACACCAGTGGCACTCCAAGTGGCCAAATACTGGTCAAAGGACATTTAAAAGAATACCAAATCTGCAAACTTTGTGTTTTGTTTGTTTGTTTTTAATGCAATACAACTGTTTTGGTTCACTCCTGACATGATAAATAATTAACTGGATACCTCATGAAAACAAGCAATACTGTAAGCCCAGCGACATCTGTATTTTTTCCCAATTGCATTGAAAATGCTTTATAATTTATCCATCTCTTAATTAATTAATCTTCAATATAGTCTAAGATTTTATACACAGGACTGCTAAAAAAGTTTTCACCGCCTTCTCTTTAAGCACACATGGTTTGATGAGATCCTTTGCAATTGTAAGTTGTTTCACAGCATGGGACACTTGTAACTAAAGAGAAGCAATGCTCCAGTTGCATTTTCATTATTGGTCTTTGTATAGTTCTCTAAGCAAGCCACAGTGGCGTCTTGGACTTCCTGTGGTTTTTGAAAAAACTGGTGTCCTGTTGTTTTAGGTTTGGGTGGTTTGTTTCCAGCTGTTGTTTTAGCTTAGCAGGTGCCAAGGAACCATTCAGGAAGATTGTGTTGCAAATGAAGCATTGCCTGTCCTGGTGTTCTCCACTTACAACAGAAATAAATCCCAATGATAGATAAGAGTGATTGTATTTCCTTTTTATTTCAAAGATTCTAAACCTTCACATTTGATCTTGTCACTAGTCGGTAAGTTTCCTGCTTGACCATCAGTACGAGGGTCATTTTCTATTGCAGGTGTGCCATAAAATGATAGACTGCAAGCTGACTCAATATGTACAAAAAAAATAACAATTCTAATATCCTTGAATTTTTTTTACTTACTGAACTGCATCTTCTTGGATCTCTCCAGGTCCAGTAGAGCTAGAGGTTTCATGTATTATAGGACCTCATCAGATGGGCTAATTTGCCCATCCTATATCACTTCTCCTTCCCTTTCACCACGGAGCCCTTCTCACAATGCAAACCAACTTCTGAAAAGGCTCTGTGGTGAAAGAGGAGAGGAAGTGTTGCCTTAGGAGCAATGGGGGGAAGCTGGGTGGTGATGGTTCCACCCATGGGATGGGGGAAAAGGCAAGTTGTGTAATGAAGCGTGGAGAGATGGCTTCTCCATGCCCCCCACCAGGACCCCCATGGATTTGCCACAATGTGTGGCAAATCCTTAACCTTTTTTGATAAGGTCAATCATTTTGTCACCTGAAAATCTACCCATTCTGAGCCAGTTATCCATAACATCAATAGCTTCCTGAAATATGTAGCAGTAACTGCATACCTGATAGGAATTGTTGTAGTTGTCATATATTATGTTCTGCAGTTGATGGTGTCATGTATTATGTTCTGCAGTTGATGGAAGGGTTAATGTAAGTATTAGTTCTAAAGGGTTGAGTAATCTGTAAGTAAGAGTTCAAGAGTGAAAGCAATTAAGGGTGGAGGTATGCAAGAGATGGGTTGCAGCTGGGTGTTTCTGGATATAAGGAGTGAGCCTTGGAACAGATCTTTGGGAGAAAAGTATTTGTTTTATTTTGGTGGTAGATGCTGCTGGTTTTCCTCCAGGTTTGTTGGATTTTTTGGTATCCTGACCTGTCTCCTGTAATCTTGGAACCCTGGGACCTTGAACCTCTGGATTGGCTTTTGACTACGGTCTCGACTCTTGATCCCTGGACTTTGTTTATTGAACTCTTGGTGTTTGACCACTGGACTGACTATGGTGTAGTATTTGCTATTGGTTTTTGTTTATTCTGTGGCTGAGGGTTATCTTTATGTTTTATATTTTGGACTATTCAAACAGCCAGAAAGTAAGTGCTGTTTTAATTAAATTGTTTAAAACAAACTGGGAGTTTGTTTGATTCACCTCTGCCGGAAATAATGGTAGAGCCCTGGTAACGTGACAGAAGTACAAAATAGTTATTATGGAGACTGTTACAAGGGTCATCTGTATAGTGTCAGAAGACACAGAATGTAAAGTACAACACCACTGAGCCACAAACATGAATCATGATTGAAAGGATGAGTATAGAAATGAAATGAACTAAATGAAAGTATGCTAGTATTTATAAAATGAAGAACCTTCTGGATGATGCTAGAGAAGCCAAGAGCACCCTAGAGAACCA